CAAATTTAGTTAATGTCTCTAATAACCCTTTTATCATTTTGATTGATGAATATTTAGATAGCTTTATTATCAGAATGCATGAGTTGTTAAAAAAAGCAAAAAAAGAGTTGATTGTGAAATCATGCATGTGGGGTATTCAAATAAACCTAAAGTCAATAAAAGAATAAGTTGTCTCTTGAAAACTGCTTTTCAATAGGTATCTATACTTGAAATTAAAATTGGCCATCTTTCAAATTCCTTTCACAAAAGAAAAAAAAATCCATTTGTCACCCCTTTTGAACCTATTGATTATTCTTTCTAAATAAACCCTAACTAAGGATCACTCTCTAAATTTTAGGGTAAGTTCAAGAAGAAAGGGATTTCATCAAGATGGCATGTGAAATATGCTGAGGGTTAGAAAATAATACCTTATGTTAAGGACCAATCTTGAAATAAGATAAGTTTCAAAAATTTTAAACTCATACAAAAATAAAATAAAAATGAAAGAAGGAAAAAAAATGAAACGGCATGATTTAAGAAAAGGAAATATGTTTATGAAAAAGAAATATGCCTTGGTTTAATCACTTGTAAATGCATTTTTGGGCCATTTATCCTTCCTTTCAAAACCCTAAACTGCCAGTCCACGTTATGTCATTTAAAAAATTTATTTTAATCAAATGTGAATATCTAAATTAAAGAGTTTTTTTTTTTTTTTTAAAAAATCACCATCATTTTTTTTTATTTTTGATGAATTTGGAATACTTAAATGCATGATGGAATATAAAAAATATATATAAGAAAAAACAGAAGAAAAGAATGAAACTCTAAGGTGAAAACTCGAAAGGATAATTTAGAGCAAGATTGAAACTCTAAAAGCAACTTATAACTTTTCATGTAACACTAAGGAGACTTTTATTTAAAAGCCCAAAAAAATCGATCTCACTATTAAGATTCACTCTAAAATTTAGGCGTTGTTCATTTTTCAAATCTGAAATTTTGAGCCTAACATAGTTGGTCTTGACGTTTATTAAGATACTACATATCAATAATTAAAATTAGTGCCAAAATAGATTACACTTTAAAATACTATTTTTAATTGTGTGCCTAAATGGAAGATGTTCATGTTCTCATTCAGTGGCCAAATTTCTTTGGTAATTAAGATTCTTCATAATATGCCAAACCATTGCATCCTTTTGAAAAGTCTAAAGTTATGATTCATCATCCTTATTCTAGGTAGTAATCACCAGTTTTTAAGAGATTTGATCATATGCGGAAGAGAGTTATGTGGGGTAATTTCCATTGCTATTCTTGAAAAGTTTCGATGTTCAAAATGTATTGAATCTTAATAGTCATGGTGGGAGGTAGGTGAATGCTGTAAGAAACTTTTCTAGGGTAAAAAAAATACAAAATGCAAGGGAGCAGTACTAAAACAACTCACTAGACAAAAAGAATAGTTTTTAAGAATGAAAATGCGAAGAATGTTTACTTTGATGCGTGAAAGAACTTATTAACTAATTCAAAGGCTATGTCATGGAAGATGGAAATAAGAAAAGTTTCGAGAATCCTATTACCACAATTAAGGACATTTGGTATAAAATTCATGCATTGCATTTATTGCATTTCATGCATTGTATGCATCATATCCATTTCATACATTGCATTAATATTTTTCAGGAGAAAAAGACGTTGACTTAAATTTTTGATAACAAAAACTTTGATCAAACAAAATTTTACCTCAAGGTATATTTGTTAATACTTTTGAGTATCAGTTTTAAAAACCTTTGGATAATTCTTTTTAAAACCTCTAAATAGATTTTCAAAACTATTAAACCTTTTTTTAAGTCTTTTATGCTAGATCTATAAAACCTCTGGACATAATCTTAAAAACCTCTTGATATCCATTTTTTTTGTAAAAGTGATTGAACATTTGTTTTAAAAGAGATTTTTCAAAGTTTGGTTTGTAAAACCTCTAGGCATAATCTCTAAATCCTTTGAACAAGATTCATAAGTATTCCAAGCTAAATCTATTTTAGAGTCAAGATTTGTAAAACCTTCGAGTGTAATCTTTAAGTCCTTCAAGCAAGATTTGTAAGTTTTACGAGCTAAATTTATTTTAGAGTCGCGATTTGTAAAAGCTTCGAGTATAATCTCCAAGTCCTCTAAGCAAGATTCATAAGTTTTTTTTAGTTAAATCTGTTTTAAAGTCGAGATTTGTAAGACCTTCAAACATAATCTCTAAGTCTTCTAAGCAAGATTCATAAGTCTTCTAAGTTGAATCTATTTTAGAATTGAGATTTATAAGATCTTTAGGCGTAGTTTCTAAGTCCTCCAAGCATAATCTTTTAAAACTTTTAGGTACCTTTTTTTAAAGTTGTTTAATCTTTGTTTAAATGAGCATTTTTCAATGAATGATTTGTAAGACAGTTGGGTTTAATTTTCAAGTTCTTTGAATGCGATCTATAAGACCTCTGGGTATAATTGTTAAAACCTTCAGATATCATCCTTAATTTAAAAAAAAAAAAATTATGTGCCTTTATTTTCAAAGAGCTTTTAAAAAAAAGTTGAATAATTTGGGTCCGGATGTAATGGGTATCTATATCTTTGTATAATTTTTGTTTTACAAAAATTGTGCAAAGAGGGATAGTTGTAGCATCCTATTTAGTCTGGGCTTAAAGCCAATTGGGCCTAGATCCGATCCAAGCCTAATTGTTCAATTTCCTACATTTATTTTTTATATTTTTTTGTCTTATTTATTTATTTTTTAGTCTTTTATTTATCTAGTTTTAAATTTTTATCACAAATCATGTTAATAAAATTTGTAGAGTAATTTAAGCACTAATCAAGGATGATATCAACAATTAAGACTAAAATTTGATTTCTTCATATATTAAAAGAAGGTTGAAAAGAAATCAAATTAAGAAATCAAAGTTAGATTTAATTTAGAAAATTTTAAAAGATTCTGAAAATCAAGGAAAATCGAGACAATTCCATATATTAATTAAACATGTTTTAAAGAGAATAAAAAAATTAATTTGGAGCATAATTAGATCTGTAATTCTTTTCATTAAATGTAAATCCCTAAAATTCCTAGCAAAATGCCTTATATAAACATTAATCAACCACACACAAAAGGGTTTAATTTTCAAGTTCTTTGGACGTGATCGATAAGACCTCTGAGCATGATTGTTAAAACTTTCAAGTATCATCCTTAATTTTAAAAAAAAAAATTATATGCCTTTATTTTTGAAGAACTTTTAAAAAAAAGTTGAATAATTTGAATCCGGATGTAATGGGTATCTAAATCTTTGTACATTCTTTTTCGTAAAAATTGTGCAAAGAGAGGTAGTTGTAGACATCTTATTTAGTCTGAAACTCAAACTAATTGGGCCTAGATATGATTCAAGCCCAATTGTCCAATTTTCTACATTTATTTTTTTTATTTTGTTTGTCTTATTTATTTATCTTTTAGTCTTTTATTTATTTATTTTTAAATTTTTATCATAAATCATGTCATTAAAATTTATAGAGTAATTTAAGCACTAATCAAGTATAATATCGATAATTAAAACTAAAATATGACATCTTCAAATATTAAAGTAAGGTTAAAAAGAAATTAAATCAAGAAATCAAAGTCAGATTTAATTTGAGAAATTTTAAAGGATTCTAAAAATCAAGAAAAATCGAGATAATTTCATATATTAATTAAACCAGTTTTAAAAATAATCTAAAAATAATTAATTCAAAGCATAATCAGATCTGTAATTCTTTTCATTCAATGCAAATCCTTAAAATTCTTAGCAAAAGACCCTATATAAACACCAATCAACCACACACAAAAGGAAACCAAAAAAAAAAAAAAAGGAGAAAAAGATTATATAGAGACTTTTGAGAAAAAAATGAGAGAAAAATCATTCAAAAAAAAAATATGATTTTTGGCAATAGATTTTTGTTTTTTAGGAATTCTTTGCGAAATCTAAAATTACGAGGATTTATTTTAGTAAGCCACACAACCCAATAGCTTAATTAAGTCAACTTTAGTTTTTTTTTTTTAATTTATTTAACAGTTTTATTTATTTATTTTAGTATCTATTATTCTTTAAATATGTTTTTATAAAAACATATTTAAATAAAAGTCTTACTAATAGATTGAAAAGCAATCATTAAAAAAAAGTTTTACCAATATATTGGAAAACTTTATAACCTTTTTTATTTCAAAAAAATAAAAATAAAAAGCCTTATTATGGCCAATATTTTATTTCAAAAATAAGGTTTTACCATCATATTAGAAAGTCTTATAATTTTCTAAAAAATAATAAAAAATATAATATTTATTGTCTTTTTGCATAAAATCTTACCAACATATTGGATACTAATTTTTAACAGAAAGTCTTATCAACAGATTGGAGGATATTTCTAACTACAAACCCAATGTCTAAGTATTTATTTATGGAAGCAAAATTAAGTGAATCTGACGACAAAGTTTCTTCAAAGCATGACAAATAGTTTTCTTAAATTGTTACCAATACATTTGAATAATTTAAGAAAAATTTTTAATATTAAATTATTTGATAAATTTTAAATATGTTTTAAAGCTTAGATAACTTGAAATCAAATTGGTATCATTTTTTGGATGAGTGTTTTGAGGGTGTTATAGTCTTCCTTAAGCATAATCGTACTCCTGGACCTAAATTTTGATTTCATATACTAGAATATACATTTTAAAGATATCCGAATTAAGTTTGAGATCTCTCTTTAAAATGAAATAGATTCAGTTAGGTGATCAATCACATTTTAATAAAAAAAATTGGTAACAACTCTTTTAATATATGTCTAACAATAGATCTACGGATCTATATGTTTTGACACTTAAGTCAACTTTATGCTCCATGATTTTATTTTTGAAGCATTTCCTACAATAATCGATCCCTAGTTGACTCCCTTGTTAACTGAATTAACCTATGTTAACACATCCTTTGATGAGATTTGGTCTCGAAAAGTTCTTACAAAATTGAAATTAAACTATGTCACCATACCATGGTAACTTTCAGGAAACCAAGTACTTAGGAAGAAAAATGACAGAAAGGACAGGTCTAACTATGTGACTTAAGTGACTGATTCAACGCATTTAGTGGAAAGGTAAGTCCATCCCAAAGAAAATTTTGGCATAACAAATCTCTGTTGGTGCATGCTTATCCAATATCTACTCCACAAATATCAAACCCCAACTTTCTTTCTTTGCAGCAAAATTTAACTTCTCACCCAACTCTCTCCCTTTGGCCCACAACCTACCAAGATTCCAAATCATATACTTCCATTATTCTCAACTTGTCTATTGTTTTTCTCTCTATACTATATATATATATATATATATATATAGTTTTCCAGGAAGGTTTATCAGGACTAATCTCTTTTCTCACCATTCTGATATCTTTCTTTCTTCTTCTTCTTATTATTATTGGTTTTCATTGAAAATATGGAGAGTAGATCCAGGAATTCTATGAGCAGATCATCACTAGTTTCTGTTTATGATGATCAATCTCCTGAGGAGAGTAGTTGGACAATGTATTTTGAAGATTTCTCAAATAATAATAATGTTCATATGAATGAAAGCAGCTCTTTTTCTTCTGATATGAATTACCAAACCTCTTCTCTAGTTTCTGATGCTGCCTCTTCTGCTGCTAGAAGACATGTTTTTGGAGCTTCTTTAGATCATAAAAGCTATAACAGTTTGAGTTTCAGGAAGCGAAAGACTAAAGGATCAGCTGGTTTGGTTAACGATGATTTGGAAGATACTGCTAGTTCTCCTGCTAATAGCCCCGAGGTCAACTTTTATTCAGTTTTTCTTATATTGGGATTTTTAAAACAGAAAAAAAAATTTAAATGTCAACTTCTTTTTTTTATAGGTTTGTAACCTGGTGAACCACTTTGATAAGAACCTGAAGCAGAAGGATGCTAAGGAAATGTCGCAGGTAAGAAATCAATTACCTTTGTTTTGATCAACTATATATGGGCATGTAATTTTTTTTTTTTGTTGTTGCAATTTCTTCTTTTAGGAGAAAGGAGGTGCTTCAGGACAGATAGATGAGAGAAATGGTGATGAATTGGGTTTTAATGGAAGAGAAAATGATGGCACTGAACTAAAGAAAAAGGGTCTTTGTTTAGTTCCTTTGTCTATGGTAGTACATTATCTAGGTTGATTTCAATTTTATTACAGCATAGATCTCTCTCTCTCTGCATCAATGCAAAGAATGTTGCTGTGCATGCCCAATCATAGCAAAATTATGTTGTTAAAATTAATGGGAAAAAAAAATTCAAAGAAGAACATAGCACGTTCAGTATTTACTTAAACAAAATCCTTGAAATCACACGAAAAAAGATTAAGTTCAGACAAAATCTGAGGACATTCTTTAATGTTGTTGAGCATGATCATATCCAGACCTTGCATTTTTTGTTAGCAATAAATGAAAATAAAAACATATATCACGTAAAATTATGCTCTTAAAATTAACAAAAAAGAATTTAATGAACGTAGCATGTTCAGTATTTACTTAAACAAAATCTTTCAAATCACACGGAAAAAAAAATTAAGTTTAGACAAAATCCGAAGATACTTCTTGCTGTAATATTTACCAACTTATTAAGACTTATGTCAAAGAATTAAAAAGAGGCTGAGAAATCAATAAAACAATATCAAATTAAGGTCATATTAATTACAACTACCTAGAAGTCAACAATTAATCATATCTAATGTGAGATTGAAATATTCTGCTTATTCTCTTTAGAGCGTTTGACGTGACACAAGGGTTTTGCATTTGTCAAACTTACATAAAATTAATTGTTAAAAGGCATACCTCGAGAAGAGGTCAAATAATGTTAATATATTTTGAAATACCTACCCTGCCAATTGTAACATCTGCCTTGTTGTTGATGGCATGAGAATTGGAGGCACTATTTTTAATTTCATTTTCATTTATATGGTTAAAATTTGTGTGTTAGGCAAAAGAGGAACACTCAAAAGTATGAATTAAAATTTACCCTTTATGCAAAATTTTCACAAATAATTGAACAACAAGGACTTGATGATCATCATGAGAGGGAAATTGTTGCACAATCATATATAGTTTCATTTCATGTCGTTTTCGGCCATTTCGAAATCATGATTGAACTAAAGAGTTCCAATTTGGGGACTGTAAATAGTTCCAAGATAACCCAATTGCTTCCAACATGCAAAGTTTTCTTTTCTTGGAGTGTCAAAATTTTGCTTTTTGCTCCAATGTTTGATCCTTTTTCATTAAAAAAAAAAACACACTACCAACAGTGATTTTACTAGTTAGGAAATGTTCTATCTTTCTGCTCTGCCTTACCAAATGTTAGCTGATGTCAACACGTGAATATTGCTTTACTTTTATCTCCCAACCCTACCAAGTGAACAAGGTTATAATTTTCCAACTTACATATTGTCAAAACCTTATCTGTTTCAAAATCTAGGGCTTTTTTTTTTTTTTTTTTTGCTAAACCAAGGTCATTTTATTAAAAAATGAGTGAATAAGACTCATGAAAAGCATCAAAGATACCATATATATACATATCTGTTCATATATAAACATAAAATAAAGCTCCAAATTTTGCCAAGAATTAGCCAATCCATGAACTTCCATCAAGTAAAGAAGAATCAAAATGAGCCTAATATCTCACTCAAAGCAAGAATATATACCATAGACACACACTCGGTAAACAAACGCGAAAAGATATTACTTTATTCTTATATATGATCCTTTTGAACGACTATGTATCTCCAACAACCCTTTCTTTTCTCCCTACAAACATGACTCCGTTCTGTAGAGTGGATGAAAAGAGGAAAGGAAGAAAAAAAAATTAATCTAAAAATTAAGCTATAAAATAATACGTATTATTATAAATCTCAACTAGCAGATTAAAAATTCTCTTTTTTTTTCTTCTTTTTCATCTTCCCTATCAAACATAGAAACTTTTGGAGTAGCCAATAGGTAGTAATTCATGTTCGGAGGTCATATATTTGTGTTGATCGACAATCATAATTGTATGTTCAGATGTCCTCACCTTTCAATCTTAATTATCTGAAGAAATAGATGGTTGGTGTTGCAATTTCCACGGTTTTACTTGAAAGCAATAAGATTATTGCTTCATCTAAAGGCAAAGCAACCAGCCCGAGCCGCCTCATCCTTTCATGTTATTGCTTGTTCAACCCCTGATGAAAAAGAAGCAGCATTCTAATTAAGATGTGCCACCAAATACAAAAATTCTGAAGGGTCGGAATTCCAACATATTCCATCATAATCATCACTGTTAAGTCAAACCTATTACATCCTTAAATGAGTTCTAATATAATATAATATATCATCTTTGATGATAAGGTTAAGCTCAAATCATTACTTGTCTCAAGTCTATAGAATCATCACTCGAAAAACCAAGTCAAATGACAGATTTTTTTGAGTAGGGATTATATATCAATCACTAAACCAAATATTTGGGCCGGTGCAAGTCAAATAATGGATTAATTCACATTAATAATGGGTAATTAAAAGTGACAACTATGGATCTTAAAGATTGATTGTTTTTCTCTGAAAAAGGAAACCTATTTGAGGCTTGTTATTTCTATCACACGCAAGATGATGAAAAGAAAATTAAGTTGACAAGATATGCCAAACATCAAATCAATAATGCCCAAAAAATGCAACTTTTTTGTGGTTTGAATTATGCAACACATGGATCCAAGTATTGATCAGACTGTAAAAGGTATTGATTAAACTTGAATGTGCCTATTGGGACACGAAGCACATGCTAAAAGGAGAATAAATAGTATGGCAGGCAACAATACATATTAGTTGGAGAAATGAAATCCCTCACAAGTCAAACTTGAATCATTAGACTACACGCCCATGACCTTGGAGATAATCACACTGTACTAGAGAATAAGAAGCAAAACAGTTAAGCTCAAAGATAGAACAAGATTGAACAAAATCAGAGAATGAGATACAAAGTGAAAAATGCAGACAATAGTTCTCTTTGGCTTAATTACAAACTGCTGGAGTACATCATAATTAAGTGAATTAACAGCTACCTAATCAACAGTATATAAGTATTTAATTAAACTAACGCCCATCCAACAACAATTAATGAAAAACACAACACAACAAAATATGAGACAGGCAACTAACAGCAGTAAAACAAGATATCTGCAGCAGCCAACAAGTAGGCACAATTTCAATAATATTTTCCTTGACCTTGATTGATAATGAAAAGATATTTGCCAGCCAATTAGCAATTTTTGACACCATTCTTTCAGTTGGCCACAAAAACCAATCTAATCAAAAGTCATTTCAATGCCCTCGAGCGATTTTTGTGTCCTCAAATTCTAGAAAGTTGTCAGATGACTTTAAACCCACCCACATTTCTTTGCAAAAGCTTTTGGCTTTATGCTTTCTCTGGTGTAATTTGACCACCAAAATATCAGATTAAGAGAAAGCAATGGCTGAAAAAATGCATTCGGATGGTGAAAAAATATTTACTGCGCATCCGGGGAATCGAACCCCGGTCAGTACCGTGGGAGGGTACTATGATACCCCTACACCAGATGCGCTTTGTTGATTAGTATTTATGTTTCTTAACCTTTCTTTTGCTCATACCAACCAAGGAACTGATACTTCGAATAATTTTGAGGGACTCAAATTAAGCTAATTGATTTAGCATTTAAAGTCAAAATCAAAAGATTAATAGTAATTTTGAAGTTCACAACCAAATGCATTGTTATATCTCTCCCTTGAACAGAAAGGGCCTTCGAGAAATGAAGGCTTAATGTGATAAAAGAGCACACATTATGGTGTAATTGGCTTGCTTATAGCAATGGAGTTTCACTTGAGCTCATTCAAATTTCAAATACAATTTGAGACTGATAAATGCAGTTATCCATTTGACCACATAAAATGGCAGTGCCATTGGCGGTAAAGGATTCACTAAGGCTGGCATTTCAAGTTTATTTCCGACTAAGAACAGGCATCTGCTTTGCTCCATGCACCAGAAACTAACAACAGATATTGCAAAGTGGATTATCATTTGGTTACTTTATTACTTTATTGCTATTCAATTTGAACCTTTCATGCAATTAAGCATTCAACAATTTTTGGGAGTTTATGGAGACTTGAAGTATACAGGCCTACTTTTTCTCAGGAAGTTTCTCTAACAACTCTGGTATCACTTCAAAAAGATCACCAACGAGTCCATAATCAGCTACCTGCACAATATAAGAATATGGAATGCATCAAAGAATCAGGATCATATATGCATTGTTTTGTGTATGCATGCATGAATTCACATATGTGACAGATAACTGGTTTGGGGAAGGGGGAGGAAGGATGCATGTGTGTATAGGAAAGGACGGTCACCTGGAAAATGGGTGCATCTGCATCTTTGTTAACAGCAACAATAACCTTAGAGTCTTTCATGCCTGCTAAGTGTTGAATGGCTCCTGAAACACCAAATGCCATGTATAGTTCTGGGGCCACAATTTTCCCGGTTTGACCAACCTGGCAAGATAAGTTATATAGACCAGATCAGGCAAGAAAAACATATGTAAGATAGTGCAGCAGCAAAATGTGCTAATTATAACATTTGCTGATTAAGTGGACTCACTAATTTAATATCTTTTCAGCTATTTTTGTTTTAGATTCTCAATCAAATGTAAATGCATATTTCTTCAAGATCATATTTCATATCCAAAGATCAGGCAACATTGAGGAGGGCAAGAAAAGATAATTAAACAATGCAATAGTATAAAAGTTTGGTATCTTTTTATTTCATAATCAAATAGCAAATAGGTAAGGCCTAATAAATAACCTATGTAGTCTGTGCATATTATCATTCAATGAATTTTTCACAACTGATCCTTTGAATCATAAAATAGTTTCCTCTTGTGCATGCATATGTGAACGTGTGTATATGCATTCTTGTTTGTGAAAATAAGAGAAATGGGCAACATCTCAGGAAGTCAACCTCATCAAAACAGGCATGAGATGATTGTTTAAGTTTTCCATTTGAATGGCTTCAAAACAAAACTAAGGCACCGGGACTCAAACAGAACTAATCAAGAAGTACAAAATAACATGATAGAAACTCCTTATGGCATGCTTATAACTTGTAAGTAGTTAAGAACCATATGCATTTTACCTGAAGTTCATTGGGCACAAAACCAGCATCAACTGCAGCACGGGTAGCACCAACTATAGCAAAAAGATAAGAACCACAAAGCATAATATCAGAAAAAGTAAAAGATTAGAACCCATTGACAAATTTGACATCTATATTTGTTTTAAAAGGAAGACATGGCAATGACAAAATTAAAATGAAGATATTATAAGTTCAAAGTAGAGTTATTGAAGCTACCAGCTGCACCAAGTTTCTCCGCTAGCTTCTCTATCATTTTGAAGTTCTCAGCACTTTTCAAAGCTCTCCCACCAGTAACCACAATGCGTGCACTACCCAAATCAGGGCGATCTGTATCCTCTGATGATAGCTTTATGTATCTAGATCTACCAATAGAATCTACAATCAAAGTAAGAATGAAGGTCAAGACATGGCATAGACTCCAGTTGCGCACTCAATATCAGCCCAAACAAATCTAATGAGTTAGAATTCCCAACATTTTCTTTAAGATAAAGTTTCTCAACATATAATTCCTATGGCACAAGAAACATCCAAGAAAAGCTATGAGAACACCAATGCCTTCTTTGGTTCCTTTCTTCTGTGAAGCAGCAAGGCAAAATGCCTTACAACATAGAGACAAGTCAACTTGAACATCTGAGCATCAGGGAAAGGTAAACAGACCTTCATCTAAGGTTGAGAGATCAACCTGAGAAATAGGAGCCCCATCAGATTTTGAATCAACCGAGATCGGAGGCACTGGAAAAGAGGTGGATCTAACTGTCAGCATACAAGGGCTGGCACCGGTGTATCGAACTGTACAAAGGGCATTTCCGGCATAAATTGGCCTGTTACATAGAAATTAGTAGATCTTACTTCAAAATCAGTTTAACAAGAGGCATGATAATGATTTGTTAGCACGGGTACGGTTAAGCACAACAAGATAAGCATTGAGTTATTTTCCTATGGTCCTGCCCTTGTAATCAATAGTAACAGCAAAATATAAGCTTTAAAGAAACAAATCAATCACAAACATGTAAAAGATGCAAGTAACTGTAACATGACTATGGTCAGAAGGAGCTATGATGTGCTATTACACAGTCTAAATAACACAACTTAACCGTCAACCAGCAAACAACTAGTATACATGGTACAAACCTCAAAATACAATTCCCCACACTTTAATCTACTTGACATACTGATAAAAATCCTATGTTTTAAAAGTGTATCGACACAACACAATCAACTTAACTTGGGAGACAAGCAACAGTTTGCAAACAAATAGTACCCATCATAGAAATCAATGGTATCTTAACAACATAAATTTACCTGACAAATTGCTGAGGTCCATTAATTTCAACAACATCAGTAACTGGAGAAACGTCCAAAAGGGCAGCGGCACGAGGTAATATGTTCTTCCCAAATGAACCTGAAGTAGCAACTACATGAGAGTAGCCTCCTTTTTGTTGAACCAATTGGACTAACTTGGCCCAAGGCTCAGCCAAAGGGTATGCAAATTTATCTGAATCAGCTACAAGAACCTACACGCAAACAAGATTCTTTACAAAAATTACAAGACAAGTTCAGACGTCACGAGAGATTTACCTGAGAAACAGAAGGGTGACACGTGGCAGCCATCTGGGCGGCTTGTTGAAGGGAAGAACCGGAGCCAGCCAATAGGATGGAAACAGAATTGTCTTGGCTAATAGAGTTGGCAGCCACCACCGCGCTCAACGATGGAGCCTTGATCGAGCCACCTTCATGCTCGGCTAAGACCAAAGTACTTGCCTTTTCAGTAAAAACCCAAATAAAAATTCGATTTCAGTAAAAAATCGAATTAAAATTAAAGAAAAAAAGGAAGAAGAAAAATTACTGATCGAGAAGCGAAGCTGGAGCAAAATAGATGTCGTTTTGAGAGATTTTTAAGAATTAAACGACTCGCCATTTCTTCTTTCGAGTTTTGCTCAATCTCTGATTCGTTTGTTCGAATTTTTGGGATTTTATGGCGGTGGATTAATGATTATCGGAACAGATTCGCTTTCTGCAGAGGCGTCTCTGTCGAAGTGATAAAACGTTGCGCTTTTCGTTTCCAATGCAATGGCCCAAGTGTTGTTTGGCAGCCCAATAACAGTAGCTGACAAAAGCCCAACTAAAGCTTAAAAATAATTAGAAAAAGCCGAGACCGGTCGAACAAAAGGACACGTGCTTTTTTTACGTTGACCAGAGCATTTAACTTGATTGATCAAGGGATGATCTTCTGGACAATTAGAACTGTCACGATAATACAATATAAATAAGATATAAATATATAATATAAAAATGATATAATTTAAAATTTTAATAATAATTATATATAATTTTTAATAAAATAAAAAAAAAATATTTTATATTTTTATATTAAAACAAATTAAATTATATAACTTTTTTATAAAATATAATATAAATATATAAATTTTAATATTTTACATAAAATAAATATACAAATTATTAAGTCTTATAAATATTTTATGCTCAAAAAAAAAAATTCGAATAACCTTTCTTCAAATAAAAAGATATTAGTACAAATTCATGTTAATTGTATTAATTATTCATACGATTACAAGATCAAAATAAAATTGTAAGTGAAAATCAACTAAATAACAAACCGAAAATTTTGAATTAAAGTTGTCAAGTGTTTCACTAATCTTGTTTGGAAGAGTAAAGACTTGAAATCACAAAATCAAAAATCGATTAAAAGAAAGATCGAAAATCTTTTTAACGTTTGTATTTTAATGAATAATTTAATGTTTCAAAAAAAAAAAAAGTGAAGAGAGTATTTGAAAGAGTTAGGTCCTCTTATCTGAAATAAAAATAAGTCATTTACTTATAAGAAAAGTGATCGGATCAGAATGATCCAATTAAAAAAATCGATGACCGGTTTGATGTAAAACGATTCGGACCACATCAACTCGATCAAAATATAAGGTGGATATCGTTAAAGTAATTTCTAGAACCCGTCTTGAAATGTTGCTCCTACAAGCTGCCATGTGATTTCAAATTACTTGGTTTGTTCTTATATGGCTAATTTGACTTGAAAGTTCAAATGGGTTCCCAAAGGGAAATCAAACAAGGGTTGTAGGATAAAGAGTATTTCCTACCGATTAAATGAAGACAGGATACAAGAATATGCCCAAGCTAAAATGCCCCTGCTAAAAGAACATCCGAAATTCCAAATAAAGAAAACCTGGGAACATAGACGAGAAAAACTGCGCCTATAGTTGTCATGTTAAGAACTTTTGTCCTTCTCATGAAGCTATTAAACAAAAATCTATTTGACAATACCAAGAAACTGTCTAATTTATATACAACTCTTGCTGAAGGCATAGCAGCATTGTTAAAAGTATTCAATATTGATTAATTTTTTCCAGGTTTTTCAGCCATGGCCATGACTGTCAAGCAACAATTCTTCTTCTTAGTACTGGTTCTTGCCTACCCTTTTTTCGCAATAAGTGGAGACCCAGATATTACCTCAGATTTTGTAGTTCCGGTTGGAGTTAATCCTAGTAAATTGAATGGAAAGTTTTTCACTTATACTGGTATGAGGACACTTGTTACCTCTAATCCACCAACAAATTTCACAGTGTTAAAAGCATCCATGGCTGAATTCCCTGCCCTTAATGGACAAAGTGTTTCTTATGCTGTTTTAGAGTACCCTGCTGGTTCAGTTAACTCTCCTCACACTCATCCTCGTGCCGCCGAGCTTTTGTTTCTCACCTATGGGACTCTTGAAGTTGGATTTGTTGACACTACGAACAAGCTCTTTACTCAAACACTTCAAGCTGGAGATATGTTTGTGTTTCCGAAGGGGTTAGTCCATTATCAGTTCAACAGTAATGACAAAGACCTTGCTTAAGCAGTTTCTGCCTTTGGTAGTGCAGCTGCTGGCACTGTCTCGGTTCCTTCTACTGTGTTTGCTACAGGTATTGATGATGAGATCTTGGCAAAGTCTTTCAAAACTGATGTTGCCACAATTGAAAAACTCAAAGCAGGCTTTGAACCATATAATTAGGCCTGAAATGGGGATTCTGAACTACTTTTTGCAATTCCACTTTTGGGTCTTAAGAGTTACTCAGATGAATATGTTGTAATAAAACCATTCTTGGTTTATGTAATAATGTCAAATGTTGTTCCTTAAGCATTAATTCATAAAGGTGCCATGGATAAAGATTATGAAAAAGAAAAGCAAAGCATTCCTCCACATTTAGATTAGCAAACTCAAAAAGTAATATAAACACAAGCAACTGGATCAAACAAATAAAGAGAAGAGATCTGTTCCTAGTAGAAAAAGGACAATTTTTCTTGGGGATTATAAGTTTACAATCCAAAATTTTGGATCTTTTAGAATAACCCAACATTAGTGTGGCCCTGTCTGTATGTTTCTTGACTGAGTAATCAATTCATGATTAGCGAAAGTATACTGAACCAACTTCATTAGTGATAGGAAAAATATTATCTCAATTGATTCATACAATTATTTTTAAAAATTGATATGAAGTTCAAATCTCAATACTTACAATTTTTTTTTTTAATTCCCAAGTTGTAATCTCTTTCGTACGTACCAAAATAATATTATTTTACTATTCATATGGTGGAAAAAAATATTATTTCAATTGATTTATATAATTATTTTTAAAAATGATATTTAATAGTATAAAATTACAATCTCAATACTTGTAACCCCTTTTCTTATCTCTAAATGCAACATCTTTTATACGTACCAAAATAATAGTATTCCACCGTTCATATGATGAGAAAAAATGTTATCTTAATTTATTTATGCAGTTATTTTGAAAAAATAACATTAAGTAATTTTGAAGTTCAAATATTAGTATTTGCAATCCTTTATTTTATTTCTAAGTAACAACTTCCTTTGTACGTACCAAAATAATAATAATAATAATAATAATAATAATAATAATAATAATGATGATGTGATCTTACCTTCAATTTCTTTGCAGCCAAATGGAACAGCTTTGAAATTAGGCATTAACTTTAAGAGAAGACAATTTGCAACTCATGTTTCCAAACTTAAAATTTCTATGGTTTCCTTGAAGGATTCAGTTATGAAACCAGGAGAAAATCTAAGCACAAAAAATCAAAAAAGGAAACCAAGCAAGTCGAACCAATTTCATTTTCATTTAAAAGACGATGACCCAAAGACCAAATGTATCAAATGAAGCAACTAATGAAACTCAAATATTGTGTCATTGACATTATTAATACATTTTTTTTTCTGCTTATTTATACAGAATAAATGGAGGCAAAATAATAAAAAAAAAAAAGATATGAATTATTGCAATGGTAGCAGGCTAGCCATTTATTACTTGAGTCTTGAAGAATGAGATGGGGCTTCAATTTTTGTCCTTGGCTCTAAGACCAGCCTTGATCTTCTGAATGGTAGCAACATCAGTTTTAAACCCTTTGGCTAGGACATCATCATCGATACCCGTGGCAAAAAGAGTAGATGGAATAGAAACAGTTCCACTTCCAGCATTTGCACTACCAAAGGCTGAAACAGCCATGGCTGGTTGATCCGAGCTAGGGTTGTATTGGTAATGCACTAGTCCTTTTGGAAACACAAAGATATCCCAACCTGAAGGGTTTGAGTGTAAAGGTTGCCGGTTGTGTCAACAAAACCAACCTCAAGGCTTCCATCGACAACGATAAGGAGCTCACCCGAACAAGGGAGGATGTGAGGTGGATTAATGGTGCCTGCAGGGTACTCCAAAGTGGCCAAGGAGACACTCTGCCCATTCCGAGCAGGGAACTCCGCCATGCTAGCTTTTGTAACCTTGAAGTTAGGTGGATAATCAGCATCAAATCCCACGAAGTCCCGTAAAAGTGAAGAAATTCCCATCGAGGCCTGTAGACTTTGCAGGGGCTAAGAAGTCTGATAAGATATCAGGATCACTTGCGGAAACCATTGCTGCTAATAAAAAGAGACAAATCAACTTGAAGAAAGTTGATGGCATATTGCTGAACTTTGTTTCTTGCCTTTACACCTCAAACTGGAGCATGTATTTATAAAGTGAGATTGTTGAACTTTGTTCTTCAAGATCGCTGAATTGATCGCTTTCAGGGCCAGCAATTTTCATTAAATTTTTAAGTCAAAAATGAAGGCAAAACACGTTGGTTACCAGCCATTTCGATGTCGTCATATACAAGAGGAATTAAAATATAAAAAGGGATCAAGACATTCAGGGTTATATCCGTGTATGATTCTTTTACATCGTATGTCAAAATTATAAAATTGAGAATAGATGAATCAAATTCATATGTATAACAAGAACATTGTGTTTGCCAATACCTCCTATTGTATATGTTGGCCTGCATTAAGATAGAACTTCAATAAAACAAGATAGGCAACAATACGGGTTCAAACAATCTTTTACACTGTGTTTGGTAGAAGGGAAAGAGGAAGGAGAGAAAGAAAATAAAAGGAAAATTTGCTTTCTTTTCATTTTTTTTTTTTTTTTGGTTTGGTAGAAGGGAACACATTTCTTTTCTTTCTAAATTCAACCCTTCTAAATATGAGATGAAAACGTTCATTCTATTTAAATTAAGAATTTTAATAACATTATCTCTAACCTCTTTTTTTTTCTCTTTCTTTTCCATCATTCATGTTGTGAATAAGCATTCAAGTAATAGAATACATCATAGGATAAGCAAATAAACCAAACAAAGAAGGAAGAGAAAAGAAAAATAATCTTGGTACATGTGAGAAACCTAACCACAGTAAACAAATTAAAAAAAAAAAGGGAAAAATCTGAATTTGGGATTAATTCTACAATTTTTGTTTAGCATTCTTGCTGTGGTTTTACCCTTTTGTGACCTCTATTTTTCCCGCTTGATTGTTTTTTTTTTTTTTTTTGTAGCAGGGAATTTCCTGCTTCTGGATATCAAATTTTTTTAGTGACCCTAGAACCAATACTCCATTTGATAGAAAGAATTAGACAGATATGATAATTATGAATATAATACGATGACACGATATGAATAAAAGATACAATTTAAAATTTTAATAAAAATTATAAATAAATTTAACAAAATCAAAAAATATATTTTATGTTTTTGTGTCAATATGAATTGTGATATAATTTTTATATAAAATATAACATAAATATACGAAATTATTAATATTTTACATGATGCAAATATATAAATTATTAAATTTAGTATTAGAAAGGAAAAAATCTGTGTAATGGATTATTTTTCATATTCCAATGTCTTAATTCATCCGATACTGTGGGTCCTCGGCTTTCCAAGAACCTGGGTCAATTTTCAAGGTGAACAAGGGGCTGGGGAAGCTGCAAGCACCATCAAAAGTGACATGAACTTGGGTCAATTATATTGGGGAAGAATGTTGTTGTTGACATGAACTTGCTACTCTTTCCTTCCTAGAAGTGAATATAGAATCAAAGGCCTAATGATCTTGAAATTTAAGGTAAATTGGCTTCCTATGTATTGCTCAAATTTATGTGGAATGTGCTGAAGCATAGATCAGTTACCCACTCGATGACTACATACTTAAGTTTCTTGAATTTTTCTTCTAGATTTTTCATATTCACGTTCCTCAATGCTTGGTTATCTCTGAACCAGGGCAAACAACACTTGGGTCAGAATGATTGGGAGAAGTGTCTGGACTCTATACTCTGGAGCTGAGCTGGTTGGAAACCCCTGGGCTTTTCTTTCAGAATCATGCGGTTCCATTTTGGCCATTCAAGTAGTAAAATACCTGAACGACTTTGAGCAATGGCTTCAATTGTCTTTAGCCTTTTGCTTAATTATTATCCCCAACTGTTGTAAGGGGACCTAAATATTCAAAGGTTCTTTCATTGTGCATATAGAGAAGACTTTTACCTTTTGATATCGTACTCTCATCTTTCTTAGAGTACAAAATATTCGCATGAAGTTTAATTTAATTAATTTATATAATTATTTTAAAAAATTAATATTTAACAAGTTTAAAATTTAATATTAACATCTACAATCATTTTTTTAGATTACAATTTATTTTATAAACAAATTACTTAATACGAAGTTTTTTGTAAAAAAATTTAATTAATACTAACCATAATAATTGATTTGCTTCCATAAATATATATATATATATATTTCATTATAGTTAAGTATTTACCAAAGATATTATAACCAAATCATAAATGGTTTCAATTTTAATTGACCAGAAAAGGTTATTAATTGAACTTATACTCCTTTCAAGTTTGATTAAATTTTTTGAAGATGTCTCTGCAATATATACCTATTTTTTATAGGTGGTTTAATTCCAAAAAGAAATTATTAGTATATATAATTTATTATTATAAATATGATTTTTAGGTAATTGTTCTTAATAATGATATATAAATCTTAATAATCACAACATTTTATTTAGAAGAACCCTATATATTCACTATTTAAAATTTGTATATTTACTTAAAAATACACATACATCAAAATATTAAAAAAATCAACCCTCATTTTGGATAGGGGTGAAAAAAGAAATCAAAAAAATTAAAAATTGATTCAAAAATTGTAGTGTTAAGTTTAGTTTGGATCGATTTTTTTATTCGGTTTGAATCAAAGTTGAATATTAAATGTATATATTAAATTCAGGTCGAATTTTAAATCGAGATGTAAAAAAACATAAAAAAAGAATCGAATCGAATTATATATTTATTAGTTTATATATATATCAAATGTTTATAAAATAAAATAGTTATTTTATATATAAATCTATTTAAATATATTAAAAATCTTATTAAAATAATATATAAAAAATTAAAATTTGAAAACCAATCAAAGTAAATCATTAGAATTTAATTCAGATCAAATCGATTTAAAAAAAAAAAAAAAGGTCGATTTGGATTTAGATCTATTTCAAAAATAAATTAATTTGAATTCAAATCAAATTTCAAAATTTTATAATACTATACATTATTCAAAGAAATTAAACCAAATTCGATCCGAATGGTTGTCATTATTAATCTTAAGGAATATTTTTCGTACCTTTAATTAACTAAAAAAATATCATTTTATTATAAACAATCATTTATTACTTAATTGATTTTAATCCAAAATAATTCTAACCCGAAATATCTCAACTTTTCTTTTGATTCGAAATGACCCAACCCTAATTAATTCATTCTAAACTTGATCCAGTCAACCTATTTACCATTTTCCATGTGATATTAGGATACATATCGAAAGGTAGTACTCTTTCTTCTCGTAAATTTATCATGCTAATATTAAAATTCAAATTCAAAATCTCCACAATAGAGTATTATTATTATTATTATTATTATTATTATTATTATAAAAATATCATACTATATGTCTATGGCAGATTATTATTGATGAAAGAGAAGGTAATTTAAGCCACGCACGCATATAACCATGCACGGGGTTGAGAAAGCTAGCCGTTGAGCTATCCGTTGAAGGCATAGGTCAAAGAGCTCGTTTTTGTTTATTTGTTTTTGGATTCTTCCAATATATTCGTTTATTTATTTACCTATTATTGGAACGTGAAATCTAAACGGTTATGTAATTGATCGAATTAGGAGCGTAGGATTTGTTTGTGAAATCAAATGATATCCCGTCCACCCACCATCCATTATTATATATATCTAAAAGAGACCGCGGAAGACACTCACACAAGACAGAATCTGTTGTTTCTTTGATCATCATTCGTCAATCAAAACCTCTAATTTTTATCTTGTTTTTTCGCTCATTTCATCTGGTTTAAGTTCATTTTAATGGCGGAAGCAATTCCATACGCGACAATTAGTAACATTTTGTACAAGTAGGGGTCACTTACTTTGCAAGAACTCGCCTCAATTTTCAGGGTGGATAAGGATCTAGGCAAGCTTCAAGAAACGTTAGACACCATCAAAGCCGTTCTCCTTGATGCTGAAGAGAAACAGGAGAGCAGTCATGAAGTGAGAAACTGGATAAGTCGGCTCCAAGAAGTTGTCTACGATGTAGATGACTTAATCGATGAATTCGAATATGAACAACTCCGTCAAAAGGTGAATGCCCGAGGACAGGTACGCAAATTCTTTTCATCCTCTAATCAACTAGCATTTGGACTTAAGATGAGCAAAAGAATTAAAAACATTAGAAAGAGGCTAGATGAGATTGCAGCTGATAAGTCTAAATTCAACCGCAGGGAGATAGTTTTAGGGGATGTAAGAGTTAAGAATAGTGGGAGGGAAACAGCTCCAATGGTTAGATCAGCAATAATGGGGAGAGAGAACAATATACAGGACATCATAGAATTATTGTTGCAGGAGAAACATAACCAGCAGGAGGATAGCAATATCCCCATTGTTGCCATTGTTGGGCTTGGAGGTTTAGGGAAGACCACACTGGCCCAATTGGTGTACAAGGAAACGACAATAGAAAAATATTTTAGTACAAGAATATGGGTTTGTGTTTCTGCAGAATTTGATGCCAGAGTAATTTTTAAGAAAATGTTGGAAGCTGTGACCGGTGGGTCTGTGGGCGACTTAGCTCTAGCAGAAATACAAAAACAACTGGAAGAAAATTTAAGAGGCAAGAGATATTTACTTGTACTAGATGATGCGTGGAATGAAAATGATTTCAAGTGGGAAAATTTTTTCAAATATCTAGTTAAGGGTGCTCTAGGGAGTAAAATGCTAGTGACAACTCGTAGTAAAAATGTTGCATCAATCATGAAGGTCAATTTTCCATACATATTAGAGGGTCTGAATGAGGATCAATCTTGGGTTTTGTTTGAGCAAGTGGCGTTTCAAGGACAAGATAATTATATTGATCCAAACCATAAAGCAATAGGGAAAGACCTTGCAAAAAGATGCAAGGGAGTTCCTCTAGCTATCAAGTGTTTAGCAAGTTTGATGAGACAAAAACCTAATGAGAAGTATTGGTCATCTGCCAAAGACAATAAAATTTGGAAGTTGCTTGAAAAAAACGATGATGTTTTCCCTGTTCTAAAATTAAGTTACATATACTTTACCAAGTCATTTGAAACAATGTTTTGCTTTTGTTCAATTTTTCCAAAAGACTTCGTAATATCTAGAGACATGTTGATCCAAATGTGGCGAGCACAAGGTTACATCAATGAGAATTTACAAGACATTGGTGATGAATATTTTAATGATTTATTATCAAGGTCGTTTTTTCAAGAGGCAGAAAGAGACAGAAATGGAAATATTATAAGTTGTAAAATGCATGACCTTATACATGATCTAGCACAACTAGTTGCAGGAAGTAATTTTTACGTGGCGAAAGATAAACAAGAAATTAGTAAAGAAGTCCATCATGTGTTACTAGAATGCATACCTTCCCAAGAATTTTTTAGGCACTTGTCAACAACAACGCGGGTAAGGACTTTATTGTGTGGATTTCATGTTGGTTTTTGAAATATAATAAATCGATTCAAAATATAAATATTTCAAAATTCAATCCGTCTTTGTGTATATTGGATTTGAATTATACGAAGATCCACAAATTAACAAATTCAATTGATGACTTGAAATATTTAAGATTCCTCGAACTAAACTGGTGTTCAAATCTTAAAGAGCTACCTAGAGATATAGGAAAATTGATTAGTCTTGAATATCTGGACATTGAGGGTTGTGGGAAGTTAAAGTGCTTGCCAAAAGGGATAGGGGAATTAGCTTCATTGCAACGATTGAGTACTTTTATTGTGAACAGTGATGAACAAAGTTTTCCAAGGGGAGCCACCTTGAATGAACCGAGTGAACTAAACTCCCTTGGAGGCTGCTTGTATATTCGCAATTTAGAGAAGGTGGGGAACGTGGGGTTAGAGTCCAACGAAGCAAATTTGAAAGAAAAGAAATACCTACAGGCCTTGAAATTAATATGGGAGCGGAATGAAGATAATAAAAAGCATGAACAGTTGTTAGATAATCTTGAACCACATCCAAATTTGAAAGAATTGGGCGTAAGTGGATACAGTGGAGCAAGGTTTTCCAGGTGGTTATCTTCCCCTTTCAAATTTAGTCAAAATTCACATACAAGATAGCCATTGCCAATATCTACCACCATTGGACCATCTCCGGTATCTCGAGTATCTTTTTCTTGGTAATTTCTATGATTTAGAATACATGGCAGATGATGATGCTGATCGAAGGGAAGAAGAACACGGTTCCTCCTTGTCTTGTTTCACTTCGACCTGCACAACAACAACGAACTTTTTCTTCCCATCGCTTAAGGAATTCAGGCTCCGGTGTTGTCCCAATCTCAAAGGATGGTGGAAGAAGAAGATTAGGAATGAAGGCTCAACTGCAGTGCTGCCTTCGTTTCCTTGCCTTTCCAGATTAGGTATCGATGGTTGTCCTTACTTGACTTCCATGCCATTGTTCCCATCTCTCGACCAAGAGTTGCACTTGTGTGACTCTAGTGTAAGGCCATTGCTGCAAACATTGACTATGAAGAAGGACAAGTCTAGCATATCACATTCTTCAGCTAACCTTCCTCTCTCCAATTTGAGACGTCTGATTCTTTCAGATATTGATGATGTACAAGTTCTGCCAGAGGAGTTTCCGCAAAACCTCACTTATCTTGAGTACTTGAAGTTCGTGAGTTGCTATAATTTGTCATCGCTGGTTCCCCAAAGAAAGCATTGCCACCTCACCTCTCTACAGTATTTGGAGATTTACAGCTGCCCAGATTTGATAGCTATGCCCGAGTGGTTACCCAATCTTACTACCCTCAAAACATTAAAAATCAGGGAGTGCCGTTAATTACAGTCTCTACCGGAAGGAATGCATCTCCTTGTCTCCTTACGAGAACAGAAGATTAACAAGTGCCCAAGTTTGTCTGCTTTGCTGGATTGGATAACTAACCTCCCTTCCCTCAAAACACTTGATATTAGCCATTGCCCCGGATTATTAACCTTCCTTCCGGAAGGGATGCCTCTCCCTTTCACTTTACAAATATTGCAATTTATGAATGTCCCCAGCTGTTCGACATAGATCAAGAGGGCACCGGCAGCGGAATCAAGTGGCATCACATTGCTCATATCCCAAATATTTATTTGCATTGATGGATGGTAGCTGGTGGAAGCTGGTGGTGGAGAATAATAAGAGTTGACATGTATATGCGCCTTTCAACAAGAAATTGTATCATGAGCATTTTGATTCCATATTACCTTTGAATAAGTAAAACTAGGATTGCAAAAAATTGGATCTTTGTATTAAACTGTTTATATACTAAATTTGTGAAGTTTGAATAATAAAGATTTAAATGAAGTTTTTTAAGTGAAATTCGTAAAATTTTTTTATAGAAATAATTAAATAAAAATTAAAATCGAAAAATTAAAAGTATAAATTAAAAGATTTTGTTACATAAATGTGCATAAAATTTGAACAAATGTAATGAATCAAATTCGATAAAATTTAAGTAATTGTTCTTAATAATCATATATAAATTTGATAATTACAACATTTTATTTGGAAGAACCTATGTATTCACTATTTTAAATTTGTATATTAACTTAAAAATACACATATACACCAAAATATTAAAAATTCAACCCTCCTCTTGAGGCATATTTTTTGTACCTTGAATATAACCAAAAAAATCATTTTATTAGAAAAGAAATTATTCAATATATTAATAGTAAAATTTTTTTATTTTATAAACAAGATTAAAATGATAATACATTTTTTTAAATTAATTTTTTATTTTTTTAATATACATATATTATCATCTTAATTTTATTTATAAAATTAAAAAATTTCATTATAATATATCAAATAATTTTTTTATTATAAACAGTCATTTATTACTTATTAGTACACCAACAAACAATGCAAGTTGAGCCCAAAAAAAAAATTCTATAGTTTTTACCAAGCAAAAAGCAACTTACCATTCAAAAAAAAAAAAGGCTAGTGTTGAAATATTCAGATGGAATGACCCAGCTTTGTCCCCGTTATCCTACGTGGCATATTTTAAGAGGATAAATCTCCGATTTATTCGCATTCTCATCCTATTGTCACCCATAGCAGATTACGGCCCCGTATAAAATGCACGAGAGTTAAGTAGTTAAACGCCATTGCTCTTCTCTCACTCTTGACACTCTCTTAGTGAAAAGCTCTTTCTCGTTTGCCAGATCTCTTGGGATTTAAATTTTTCTTTTTTATTTTTATTTTTAATTTTTCAATTAAATCAGATTTCGATTGATTAATATCAGCCATGATTTCTTCAAGCAAGATCAAGTCCGTCGATTTTTACAGGTTCAGATCCCTCATTTTCTCTTTCGATTCATCGCATTTTTTTTAAATTTCCGGTGATTGATGCAAATAATTTAAGTTCGAAAATTTTTAATGGATCTAAGCAGTTGATAGGAAAGAGTGAATTTCTAATTGCTATGTTTGGATATATATTTTATTTATTCATGTACTGGAAATCAAAACTGTTACCTGCAGGCTTCCGATTATTTTCGTTTGAATAATTTTGTATAAATTCTTGTTTTCTTGCTAAAATGTTGATAGTAATTTGCTGAATGAGCTGAAATTCTTGTTTAGGTTAAATTATTTTTTTTTTTTTTTGTGTTAGTGATAATCCGATATTTTCAATTATTGTTCGTTTTTCTCTACAGGAAAATCCCTAGAGATTTGACTGAGGCAACGCTCTCCGGTGCAGGGTTATCCATAGTAGCAGCATTGGCTATGATGTTTTTGTTTGGAATGGTAGGCAGCCTCTTTATTTAGTCCAACTTCAATTTGATTTTGGCGCCCAAACAGCTTTTGTCAAACATCTTTTTATCTTATAATTGTTACCATTTCCTTTTCTTTTCTTTGATGATACTTATTGGATTCATTGTAGTTTAGGAATGAATCTGTGGCCTTGCAATGAAAGCATTTTTCCTCTTCACCCATTTTAATACGTGACATTTTATTTTGCAGGAATTGAGTAATTATTTAACAGTCAGCACCTCTACAACTATTATTGTTGACAATAGTTCTGATGGGGACTTTTTACGTATTGATTTTAACATCAGGTGCATTAATTTTCTGTAGCGATGTCATCATTTGATGTTCTCATTTGGTTGTAAAGCCTTTTCATAGTTATAGTCTTTGTATTTTTTGTCATAGTGTTGTAGCATACAATCTTGATGTTGGATCTTGAAGTAAGAGCTACCTTCATGGTTGTATCGTCCTTTCTCATTCGTTAAGTAAGATAGGAATAGGTTGAGTTAATCTATGTTCTGAAAATTGGCCTTGAACTTTGATTGGCATTATCTTGTTACCTGTTATAGTTTTTGTCTGATCATGTATCAAAAAGTAAAAAAAAGGAATAGGGTATATCCTGTACGTGAATGTGCTTCAACATGGATGAGTCTTGGTATGCATTCTGATATGAGCTTATTGATGCTGATATGATTGAAGGACCAGTTGAAATTCATGTCAAATTAGAAGCAGATGGCTTTTTCCTTTGTAGAGTTAGCAGTTGAAATCCATTCTGATAATAGCTGATTGTGGTTATATAGGTTCTTACTGCTTATCTTTATTTATACGTTAATGGATACATTAGTGCAATGGGCAGGAGTGGCTTGAAATATATTGAACTTCAGGTGTTGAGAATATGATGATACTTAAAGTTTCTTTTTGATATCATATTTGGTCTCAATTGAGCTTAGCATGAAAAGATATTCCCCATCTAATAAGGCTCCAAGTTGCAATATTCTTGCTTGACTAGCAAATAAACAATGAGATAACATTGCATTGTGGTTCTTAGGGTACTTTATGCTGCTTTTGAGATTTCTGTATAGATTTTTTTTTTTTGGAAAAATTGGGTTTACATTGCTACATGCCAACCAAAATCCAGCTAAGCAATAACCCATGCAATTTTTTATTTCATACTTCTACAGGGTTTGCTTTAAAACTCTGATAGGTTGCTACACCGTCTGTGATCTTAATATGCATGGGTTTTTTCCAGTTCTGCAATATCCTTGGAAATTGTTCAAACTTTACTTTTAATGATAAAAAAAAAAATTGGGTTGGCTGACTATTCCAATTGATTTCCAGTTTTCCAGCGCTCTCTTGTGAATTTGCATCTGTTGACGTGAGTGATGTCTTGGGAACTGTAAGTTTCTATCATTGGATGTGTTTCATATACTTAACTTTATTGAATGCTTCTGTTTAGCACTAAATCTTTTAAAAAGATGGTCTTGCATTGCTCTGGAGTGTTTTACTAGCTGCAAGCTTAATACTGCACTTCAAATGCCTGGCATCGAGTATGTCTGACAAATTTTCGATCAGCTATCCTTGTTCCCTATCTTTTTTGAAACTTATCTGATAAAAATTTTGATGCTAAAGAAAATAAAATACACCACACCTTTTTAGGATATTGTGTTACTATTTTCCTGTCTATTTTTTCATGCTTCATTCTTCAAGATGCCTGAATGTTTTTTTCCCAATGGTATTTTACCATGCAAATTTTGGTCAATGTGACTAAATTTGTGTCTTCTGTTTTCAGAACAGGTTGAATATAACAAAAACAATCCGAAAGTTTTCTATAGATCCACATTTAAGACCCACTGGTGCTGAGTTTCATTCCGAACCTGTTCCACATTTCATTAAGCATGGAGATGAAGTTGATGAAGAAACTGTTGAGGGTTCCATACCATTAAATGGTGTTAGCTTTGACAAACTTTCACATCAGTAAGTGGATCAATTCAAACTTGTAAGCCATTTAATTTTGTGTGTATCATGTTCTGATTATGGAGCCCTGTGTGTTAAATGCCAATTTTTGTGATACCTCTAGTTACTGAATGGTTTTTTGCAGGTATCCAATTTTGGTTGTCAATTTTTATGCTCCTTGGTGCTACTGGAGTATTCGCCTGGTAATCTACCATTGGCATGCATGATCTTTGTCTTGAAGATGCTTGCTGAAATCATTATTGTCTATCTCTTCAGCTGTGTAAAGTGATCATCATCATACATAACTTATGTCATACTGATATGGTTGCCAAATCTTCTATTTTAAGTAACTCAGTTTTTGACTTTATGTACTTCATTTATGTTTTAATAATCCTTTTTTTTTTTTTTAAGTGAGCATTTTAATAGCCCTCTAATATGCTTTGTGATGTGATATTTTCTGTGGAGGACCTTAGTTTGTGTGGCTTTTTTGTCAGCCTTTTCTGCACACGTATGTTTGTCTCCATATTCTAAACAATCGCACTTGGAAATGAGTTAAACCCTTGCTGCTAAGGAGTATGAAATCTTAGGTGGAACTGATAGTAATGCATGCTTTCAGCAGTTATGACTACTATATTTGCTGATTTAGTTTTATTTTCTCTAGTTTAAGGAAGATTTTGCTGATAGTATTTTAGAGAAATTAGTCACCAAGATGAGCAGAGGAGGATTAAGTTACTTGGCGTGTGATTTAGGAAACAGAAAGCTTTAAAATTAATAGATTCCATATAAAAAAGCCTTTTATCTAATTCTAGTACTAGCACTCAAACGTGATTAAAAGGCGCTTCCTGCAGGTTAGTTTTCCTCTGAAATAAATCTTGTTAGTAATTGGAACAGATATCTTCTAATCTAAAAGGCAGAGGATGGATTTTCTTTTCAATTCAAAATATTTCCGGCTTATATATATACTTCCTTAAAGAACCCTTCTTAGTCCTAAGGTTTCACAAAAGTGATAATAATTGCCTGCAGCCTAAGGTTTGTTTTTTTGTATTGCTTAGTTCTTCTTCCTTTTTTTTGAACTGTTTAAAGGTTATGTTGGGGCTTAAAACTTTTCCTTTTACCACTGAGAGCTTGGGTGGCTTCTTTGCTTATCAGTAACCTTACCATGTTTCTTTTTGGGTTTCAGAAACCATCCTGGGAGAAAACTGCCAAGATAATAAAAGAGAGGTCCGAGCATGCATCATTTCTCTTCCATGGAATAAATTTGTAAATAATTTCTTAATTTAACAGTGAATTTTGCACCCTTGCTCTTTACAGATATGATCCAGAAACGGATGGGCGTATTCTTTTGGCAAAGGTTGATTGCACTGAAGAAGTTGACTTGTGTAGGAGGTATTTCTTTGTTTGATGTTTTATTGCATGTAAATTAATTGCTTCTTGTTTGAGAATATGATTATATGTCTTTATTTTACCACTAACCATATTGTTGCATTTCTATCTCTTTGGTGTTGTAGATACATATCAATATTTATCACTTCATATATTTAAACAATGCTTTCTTGCTTCTAATATAGAATTATTTCCCAAATGTTGCATCCTTTTCATAGCTTTGCCACAAGTTTAATCTTTTCTCTTTGTCTCTTTCTTCCTTTTCTGGTTTATTAATTACTATTGTGCTCACTTGTTCTGTATTCTTCTTCATACAGGCATCACATTCAAGGGTATCCATCCATTCGCATTTTTCGTAAAGGCAATGATGTGAGGTAAAAGAAAGTGTTACCGTTCATATCTTTTCTACCCTTATGTTAATGACTTAATGTCCCCCTCCCCCTTTTCCTTGTTCTTCCTCACTCTGTCTTTTCTTTATGTTGCTTGGTCCTAAACAAATTATTATTGTATTCCAATATGTGAAGCTCATATATGCACTATGGTTTCAGGCATATGTTTAACCTTCAACTTTCGTTTGACTACTGACTAGAGGATTGTTACTTTCTTCTTGGCTATTTAGGGCTGCTTAACTTTATGTATATGTGCAATGCGGATTCACCTTGTTCTCTGACTTGTATGTGTTTCAGGGAGGACCATGGGCACCATGAACATGAATCTTATTATGGAGATCGTGATACAGAAACCCTGGTTAAGGTACAATTAAATTAGGTTTGAATTGGTCATTTGTGTTTATAGATCAGTTATAAAAATCTTATAAGATAAAGGTGCATACATGATCTAATGCAGTTGTCTGTTTCTGCCAGACGATGGAAGATTTGGTTGCTTCTATTCCACAGGAGAACCAGAGGCTGGCTTTAGAGGATAAATCCGATGCAACAAAAAGACCAGCACCATTGACAGGAGGATGCAGAATTGAAGGATATGTGCGAGTAAAGAAGGTGATAATTACAATACTAGATTAGACTCTATCCATTTGACTTATTTTACTTGTAATTAGTTTGTCCAATCTTTTGTGCACCCTTGAGATAAAGAGCAGTAGAAATGTTAGTTATATCATCCATTTGATCTCAAAGTTTGCCAATTCAGAATTGTTTTTCTTTTTATACCTTAAAGTATTAAGTTTGATTTGCACTTTGCAGGTTCCTGGCAACCTTATTATCTCCGCTCGTTCAGGAGCCCATTCTTTTGATGCTTCTAAAATGAACATGTCTCATGTCATTAGCCATCTTTTGTTTGGTAAAACAATTTCACCTCGGGTACTGAGTGATGTGAAGCGATTAATACCTTATCTTGGTAGAAGCCATGACAGGTTGAATGGTCGGTCATTCATTAATCACCGGGATTTAGATGCAAATGTTACTGTAAGTTTGTTCTTTTATATGATCCTTTCTGTTCAATTGCTTGTTTTACCTTTTAATTGCCATGGTGTTGACCATGAACATTTTATTCGCTTCTTTGTCAAAGCAGTCTATGCTTTACCTATGTGGCTTAGTAAGATATGCATAGACATTGGTCGACAATAAAGAATATTCTGTTCAAGAATTCCTTCATAATCTAAAATTTTAAAATAGACCTAACCAATTCTTGATTAATGATTTGATAATAGGTGAGCTGAGTGGAGTCCATAAAATATTAAAAATTTGCTGAAATGCTGGTTTGTTATTTTGAAATGCGTAAAAGCGCATACTTTTCAAGCTTTACCTTTCTTAATTGCATTTTCAGATAGAGCATTACCTTCAAATTGTCAAAACCGAGGTAGTTACAAGAAAATCTTCTCGTGATCATACATTAGTCGAGGAATATGAGTACACAGCGCACAGCAGTCTGGCACAGAGCATATACATACCTGTTGCGAAATTTCACTTTGAGTTATCTCCAATGCAGGTTATTCCTAAAACTCTTTAAATATATTTACCCTCCATTCTTCTTGTTTTTCATTAATTCAACAGAATTTTTTTTTCCTTTTGTACTCAGGTTTTGGTAACAGAAAACTCAAAGTCATTTTCACACTTTATCACCAATGTATGCGCTATAATTGGAGGTGTTTTCACGGTTAGTAACTTACTACCCTGTCCTCGAAAGCCTTCTCTTTTTCCTTATGAATGAATCTTCTCTGTCGATTGCAGGTTGCTGGGATTTTGGATTCAATTTTTCACAATACAATTAGGTTGATGAAAAAAGTAGAATTAGGCAAAAATTTTTGATAGCCAGGCAAAAAAATTGTTATTCTGTAAAGAATTCTAATTAGCGAGGATTATTCTAAAGAAACACAGTTGAGTTCAGTTATTCTTACTTTTTGTCTTGAAGTTTATTCATAAAGCGTGCCAATATTTTATGAGTAAAATTTTATATGCATCAGATTTACCTGGAAGAACGTATTTTTAGGATCGTGCCAATGTAAAAGAATGCATTTTTACGATCATCCGAAGAAGAAATTAGGATTTACATGGAAAATTATATTTTTAAGATCAATTGACGAGGATGTTGGGTTTGCGCAAAACCTGGAACTCGTATTTTGGTTCGTTTAATACACGAAGACCTATTAGGAGTCTTATTTTGGTTCGTTTAATGCACAAAGACCTCTTAGGGATAGTAAGGCCTAGAACTTTTAAGATTGAAAGTGGTTTTACCATTTTTTTCACAAAAAAAAAATAATAATAAATGACTGTTAAGCCATATACACACCGTATAAAATCCATTTATTTCCGTTTACAAACAAGCACACCAAATACTATACAACTATCAGATTATTCCTTAATTTTGACAATCAATTATCAATAAATTAAAAAAACCCAGATGAACCCAGTAAACACAAGCTGAGGAAAATCAAAGAAAAAAAAGGTCAAAAAAAAAAAAAATCAATTCATCCTCTTTAGAATATTGCTAAAACAAGAGTTGAGGCAACAAATGCTCCAATAGAACCAGTAACACTCGTGAAGACTGAAGAGGCAGCATTTTTCGGTGGATTATACTCCTCGCTTGGTGCCGGAGTCGGGTTAATCTCTACTGTTCGGGTTGGTGGAGACTCAGCGGAAGGGGCAGGCGATGGCACTATTTCGGTTGAGCTTGAAGGCGGAGGAGAAGGAGGGTTGGTTACATTTGTGCTTGAAGAACGGTTGCTTCTATCAGCTAACACAACAACCTCCAACTTCTCATTCTTTGGACAGTTTTCTTGGTTTCCGCTGATGAAATAGTAAGGCCCCGAATTATTGAATGGGAAAACAGTGTGGCCATCGGTGTAGTTGGCGAGTGGTGATTCTACACTGCAGTGTTTGTAGGCCTCGAAAGTCACACGAAGCACTGAATCTTCGTTCGGTGTGTAGATAAACACTGGCATGCACGTCACATATATGTATAAATGAAATCAACAACAATGTTATATATACAAAAACACCCAAATGGAAGATAAGCCAAAACTTACCAAGTGAATCTCCAATTTGAAATCTGTTTCTTTCTGCCCATTGATTATAATTTTCAGCATTGGTGCCATTTTGAAGACCCCAAATCACTGGGAATTCTCTTGCATAACCCTCCTGAATCAGTAGCATGAAACAAAAGAGACTCAATAAAAGAAAAGCTTTGCTTTGATAATCTGATCTGAAAATGGAGTTGGCCATTGCAAAAATGAAAGATCAAAACAGATGTTAATGTTTTCAACAAAAAACTGAAAGATGAACTGTGAAACTTAGGTGAAAACAATAGGGTTGGCAACAATGGGTGCCTAGACCAGGGTTTTTGTAGGCCAACTTGCATGAAAACTTTACAAACTGTGGCAGAGAAGCTTTGCTTCTTTTCCATATTCTCTTTTTCTTTGGATTTCTTGGCTTCTGGTGCAAAGCATAAATGTTCACCTCATTATCATAGTTTATAAGAGGTAAGAGTATTCTTTCTTCTGCTTTCTTTTGAATCTTTTTCTTTCACTTGCTTTATTGTGAGTTTATGCTTTGCTTGACCATAAACAAGAATATTCATGTCTTCTCCTTTGGGTTAAACCATTGACATCTAACATCTTGCATGCATTAATGGAGTTTGTATTCACATTACCAAAAAAAAAAAGTTTACCTAGAATTGTTCATCCTAGTAATTTGCTTGAAGAATGTGTTTAAGATTTGGGGTTTAAACTTTGAATTGAACTTCCCTCTCCATCAAGTAATTCTTGATTTTTTACCATCTGAAGCATTAGAATCAGAAAGAGAGACAAAAAAAAAAAAAAAGAATGCTTGAGACAGAGACAGGAATGCACATCTTAAATCTCTTTAAACTCAAGTATTGCTGATTATTTGCAAGATTTGGCAAATAGTTCATCCTCATTTCATCAAGACTAATGTTTCTGTTGAATTTCATTCCCTTTTTTCTGTATCCATCAAAATTTGTTGCAGAAATGATATGAAGGGTGACAAAAATAATAATTGTCAAGTGATTAGTCCCTGTCATGTTTCCTAACAGATTAAGGTTAGGTTTGATGGTTTCATTAGATTGTCATCAGAGAAATATCATGAGCTGGCTTTGAAGGACAGGATCTAGTCAGATTCAGACATGAAATACAAAAAGTCAGCTACTTAATTTGCCATATTTTCCATTGCTAAATATATTAATGATTGATCCAGTCTCAATCAGAAAAAAAAAAAAAAAAAAAAAACAGTTCTATGAACTTGCTATGACTTGTTCCATGGAGATATATTAGTCTCAGAACCTGATGGGGACTAGGTAAATTTCTAAACAACTTGAACAATGTCGGTTTCCTGACATAAACACCCCTCTTTTGCAGCTGCTTACCTCCATCTGCAGAAAGTAAAGTACTGCTAGGAGACATGAAAAATTGAAAGGAACCAGAAAAAGAACGAACAAAAAACCAAGGGATAACAAAAAACTTGGGTCCATAACAAATTATCAAAATGTTGCTACATGTTAATCAAGTGAGAAAACGAAGACAAAAATCAAATTGATCAGTAATAAGTAATGCTGCTGGAGATTGATTAACACTACAAATTATAGATACTTTTCCAGCTTTTGAAACTAGTTTTACTGTACGACAGTTCATGAAATATTTCACAAGATTCTTATGACTCTAAAATTAAAAATTCTATCAAATTTCTACTTTTTTTTTTCTATATAAGATAAATTATTATGACTCGAAATTAAGATTTCTATCCAAATTCTATTTCACTTAAATTAATGATAATCTAAGCTATGATATTTTGACATAAACGAATGTGGAAATTAATGAGTATGTATCCGATAATATAGGTGAATTTTTAAATTTTTTTCATATAATTAAAGAATATGTATCGAACATAAAATGAAGAAGTCAGAGCAACATGAAACCAAAGAACAGTTGGTAAAACTTATGGATCAAGCTGGCAGCCTCGGCACCTTCAACTCAATTGATTTTGTCTTTGCTAAATTAGAACCCAACAAAGGTAGACAGAAATGGTCCCCTTTAAGTTGAAAATTTATTTATTTATTTTTTTTTTTTTTCCTTTGCTGAATAAGTTGGAAAGCATTTGAAACAGAACAAATCATATTCTTTGAAACCCACAAGCATTATTTTTATGTCTAATCACCGTTATGTTTTAGGGGTACCCAATGTAGTTCCATGACCAAACAATTAATTGAACAACATGATACAATAATTATTCCCACCTTTTATTTAAAAGATTCATTACCTTTCAAAGTATCCATTTACTTTAATTAGCTCTCGTTTTGAATTGATATAATGCGAAATTTGAATTTAAATTCGATTTGAAATTTGATTTAAATTTGATCAAATTTTAATTTTTACATTCAATATGATTCGAGATAAAAATCAAATTAATTAAATTCATTTTGATTAAATTCATTTATTGAATTAAAATAAATTCGATTCTTATTCGATTTTAAACTTAATTATTTGTATTTAAATTTGAATTTGAGTTCGAATTGATATATATAAGTAAACTAATAATTTTTTAATTAAAATAATAAAAATATATATTAAAATATAAAAACTTGATTAAGCTTATGAATTATTCGAATCAAATATTAAAATATTTAAATTCGACTCATTCAATAAGTTAAGCTATTCGAGTTTGAGTTCGACTTGACAATGATTAAATTAAATTTAAATTTTATTTAAATTAAACCTGAATAATTTAATTAAAACACAACAATTTCTCTACATGTAAATTCTTCTTTCTTTCTTCTTAAGAAAAAAAATTAAGAAAATTGTAAATTAACCATAAGTGAATAGCTTGTTTTACATTCTCATCACTACTGTGTTTAAAGACATTTCAAATGTTATTCTAATGAAAGACAATGATACTTTCCAATTTCTTCCATTATTATTAACAAAAAATGAATCCAAAAATCTTTATTAACAAAAAAATTTTTTGTTTCTTTTTTATTATTATAATTAAATTTTTTTTATAAAATAGGTCACAATTTGAAATAAAAAAAATTACAATTACTAAAATTTTATGCGATATAATTGAATTAAATTTTGTATTCAAATCCAAAATTTTTTACTTTGACAAATGTGATCAATGCAAAATTTTAGGGTTTTAGATTTGATTTTAGGAAGATCTCTTTCGCCACAATTTTAAGGGAGTCAAAGTCAATGGAAGTTTCCATAACTCTTGTGACTTGTCATTGTATTGGACTTGTTCATGAATATGGGAAACCACTTTACTAAACCTTGCTGGGTAGAATTGGTCAGCGCTTTTCCACCACGCGCCACCAGAAACATGTTGAGTTCCTAGAAACTTGTGTCTTTGTTATGGACTTGGTCATGAATACGATATTAGAGGTATAAATGATACATTAATACTCACAAATTATTTAAGTTTGATTAAAAAAAACTCAAATTATGTTCGATTATTATCAAGTCGAGCTCGAACACGAGTAGTTCGATTTATCGATCGAGTCGAATTCGAGTATTCTTATATCTGACTCGAGTAGCTCGCGAGTCTAATCAAATTTTTATATTTAAATATATTTTTATTATTTTAATTAATAAAACATTTCGAGTCCGAGTTCGAATTCGAATTCGAGCATGAATAATCGAACTCTTATCGAGTATACGAATCGAACTTATTTTTACATATTAATCGAGTTTAATCGAACGAGCTCAAACTTGAAAATAAAATTTGATCGAGTTCGAACTGAGTATCGAACCTTGAATTATAAGTCGAACTCAAACTCGAGCTTCTTACTATTCGACTCAGCTCAACTCATTTACACCCCTACGTGACACCGCTTTACCAAAACTTTTTAGGCAGAATTGTTCAGCGCTTTTTCACCACGCGACAACAGAAACGCGTTGAGTTCCTAGAAACTTATGTACTTACCTAAGTAAAAGGAAGAAAACCAAAGTCTTTAGAAATTTATAAAAATTTTGAAATTTATTTATTCATCTTTATTAAAAAAGTAAAAATTATTTTAAAATAAAAATCCAAAGAAAAAAAAAAGGAGAATCAATCAAAAAATTTAAAAATATTAAACAATTTCCCAACACTCTTGTGAATCTTATAAAACCAAAAAAAAAAAAAAGCATTAAATTGAGACACCAAATGAAGAAAAAGAAAAGGTCAAATTTAATAGGCAAAACAAAATATAGAAAAGTCAAGTCAACAAATATATAAAACAAAATTAAAATTTTAGCAGAATTTAAGTTTTTAATTTTGGATTTAATTTTAGAAAAAAAAATTAAAAGTGGCAGTTAAATTTAGACAAAAGACAGAGAAACTAGAGGTAGACGGTTAAACTTGACGCATAAAACGGCCAATTGTTTTTTTAATGTCCTTGTGTTTGTGAGATGGCTACTTTGCTTGCAACAACCATGGCTGCCATCACCACCACTCACCAAATTAATCCATAATTAACCCATAAAAAACAGTTCTTTTGTTTGATTTTTGTATCTCAAAAATAAAGGGAAAAAAAAACCCAAGAAATATAGTCTTCTTTTTTTTTTCCTTTTTGTTCTTTGAAGAACTTGACTTGGCTGGGCCCTCCATTTTCTCAACCTAACCCTGCATTTCCTTTGATTTTTCCTTTCTGGGTTTTTCTTCTTCTATTCGAAGGTTCCAGCTTTTGGTGGTTCTGCTGCAAAGAAGAAAAAAAACCTTTTTTTGGGTTTTTTTGGTGCAAAAAGGAACAAAAAAAGAAAGATTTTATTTATCTTTTCTTGGTAAATGTGGGGGGCTCCAGCAGAACCTGCTGATTCTTATTATGAGGTCCGGCCTGAATGTACTGATGTTCCAATAACCAAATTTAAGATCAAGGTTTGTTCTTATTAATTGAAAAAAAATGAAAATTTGGATCAATGTTTAAGAATTGAAATGATTCATATTTTATGTAATGAGGTTGCGTTAATGTTTATATTTGGATTAGATTTATATTAAAAAGCCTTTTTTTTTCTTTATTATTGGTCCCAATTTGATTGAATTTTTAGCTCAAGTGAAGTTATCCAATAAAGGGCTGTTCATTTGGATTTTATTGTATGATCTTGAGATTTGATATTGAATTTATACATATGTAAAATGGTACAGTTAAAAGCTTTTAGGCAATGAGCTTGGTTTAGAATGCGGTTTCTTACCATGATCAATTCAGTGTCAAGTCAATGTTTTTCATGGCTTTTTAGTTCAATGAATATTGTTTCTTTTTATCTTTGACATAAATGAAGCTGAGTTCTGCAGTAATTGTTAAAAAGGGGTACCGTGATTCAATAAATTATTTGCTTATGCAGCCTGGCAAAACTCTAAGTGCAAGAAAATGGCAAGCTGCATTTTCCCCAGATGGGCATCTGGACATAGGCAAAACTCTACATCGAATCCAACGAGGGGTAAGCGGATGTTCATGTTCAAAAAATTTTTTTCCTCGGTAGTAGATTTCAATTGATTCAAACAGAAATGTAGTTATGCACTTATGCTAAATAGATTAGATATTTAAGTTTCCCAAGTAATTCATTCAAAATCATGGCCATCTTTATATATCGAGCTTGAAAACTACATGGATGATTTGGTTGGTCTTTTTGTGCAGTTTTTCATATACTTGGTATCCTTTGTAACTTGCACTGTTTCCACCTATGATTTAGTTTTTCAACCATTCTTGGTTGCATTCAATAAAGAAAATGCACTAGCCAGCAAAAGAAGAATTCTAGTTTAGATTGTTTCCCCTTTTGATTTTAAAGAATATAGGTGAGAATTGATCCTTATATCGTAATGGCTGAGCCTACTACAATTGGGCTTGTAAATGATGTAAAACATGTGAATTGTATCCATGAAAGAGTAGGGATAGTTTGTCAATGCAAAAGAACAAAAATAAACTCATCAATGTGGGTTCTATGTAACTTTTATATCGATCATGCTGGAAAGCAGCATCATCAAGATATAGACATATATTTTTTTTCTAAATCTTATACGTGGATGAGCATATGAATAAATGAAGTTGTGTAATATGTTTATATGAGTTAAATACATGTAAATATTTATGCTTTTTTCTTTTGGTGTCTATATATCGGCATTATTTTTTATTTTTAATTTCTGTTGGCAAACATAGGGGATCCATCCATCAATTAGAGGAGAAGTTTGGGAGTTCCTACTTGGCTGTTATGATCCTAAGAGCACATTCGATGAAAGGGAGCAGATACGACAGCATCGAAGGTAGTCCACTTCTCCCATTTTATAAATTGATACTATTTGGCTATTGAATCTTTGAGAGATCAGTTCTCTGCTGGACCTCTTCCCTTATCAGGAGATCATTTTCTGAGTTATTTTCTCATTTCTATATGTCAGGGTGCAATATGCTAGATGGAAGAAAGAATGTAGTGAAATGTTTCCTGTTGTTGGAAGTGGCAAATTTATTACGGCACCTGTAATCACCGAAGATGGTCAGCCCATTCAAGACCCTTTAGTGCTTTTAGAGACAAATCCAGGCAAGTTACTGACACTTTACCTGTTTAAAATAATAGTATGTGGAAAGTGAAATAAACCAGGTATTAATATGTGATGAATTATTTAGGTGCAAATGCTAATAGTACAGATATGGTGAAGGAGCTAACCAGTCGGGGCCCTTTGGACAAGAAAGTAATCCAGTGGATGCTTACATTACATCAAATAGGTTGGTTTGTTGTTTTCTATTTCAAATGCATGTATCTCTTGCATTTGTTGCTTTCTTCTCTTAGTCATGACCACATTCCTTGTATTTATGTTTCTGTCAGGTCTGGATGTAAAACGCACTGACAGGACTTTAGTATTTTATGAGAAGCAAGAGAATTTGTCAAAACTTTGGGATATTCTCTCTGTTTATGCCTGGATAGATACAGATGTTGGCTATTGTCAAGGTGAGTAATTGCATGAAGTTTTGTTTCTTTACCAGGAGAGGCCTTTATAAATTGATTCTATATTGTTAACTGCCTCAATCAAGGGAACGATGGATATATTTATTTATTTGCCTTAAATTCTTAAAATGTCACTATTTTACTTTATTAGGTTGTGACTGTAGAATGTGCTTGACATTATGGTGACAGAATAGATTTACAAGTTTAAAAACCATTACAAAAGCCTTTAAATTTAGTTATCACTTCTAGATTTTGCTAGTGCTTCAACAGTGTCTTGTATTCATCAGATTCATATGTTACTATTAGCATAAATATTTCACTTAATCAATTCTGTGCTAAAACTAAGCATTGCCTATTTCTGGTATGTTCCTACCCCCTCCCTATCATACCCATAATGTGCTAAGACATAAATGCTTCTCTCTCCCTCCCTCCCTCCCTCTCTCTCTCTCTCTCTCTCTCTCTCTGTCTCTCTCCATATACACGCATAATATGCTTACACTACTCTTGCATATTCTTTAGTGTTTTATTAATTTTCCATTGTCAACAACAAATATTTAAATTAAGGAAGAAAATTTATCAATGTGCAAGTGTCGTTCACTTCCTGAGCAACATGGTTAGGAGGTGTTTAGATAGTTACCAGGTTATAATAGCTGTAAGCTCTATCCTATTGTAATCTCCATTCATTTTACCTCTCTTTATAACAGAGGGAATAATTTATATATATATATATATATATGTACAATTTGTAATCAATTCTAATTATGAAAGCTAAATTCAATTACAATGTTGAGCAGGAATGAGTGATCTATGCTCCCCCATGATTATTCTTCTTGAAGATGAAGCTGATGCATTTTGGTGCTTTGAGCGTCTGATGCGTAGATTGGTGTGTTTACTTTCTTTTTTTTTTTTCCGTTTTTTCTTTTCCACTCTCTTTATTACAATACTATGGCAGCATGATGGCTTATCTTTTCATATGCACTAAGTCCATTTTCCAGTATTCAATTAAGTTCAAGCTACCAGTTGGTTGAATATGTGTTTATGTATCTCTAGAGTTGAGAATTAAGTTTCTTTTCTTTCTTAGGTGGATTTCCTAACCCTTGGGTCCTTTTAGGATTCATATATATTGAGTGTGACAATGCTATCTGCGACTACTGGTTGTTTCCAAGATTGTCTACTCCAATAATTTCTACTCAGTTGTTCTATATGCTTTGCAACAGGAATGCATTTTGTCTTCCCGTGGATTCATTATGCCGTCTTATATATATTGAAATCTACATGTGCACCATGGCAGATTTTACTATTATGTCTTTCTTATTTGCCTAATATCTTTGCAACAGGAATGCATTTTGTCTTCCCGTGGATTCATTATGCCGTCTTATATATATTGAAATCTACATGTGCACCATGGCAGATTTTACTATTATGTCTTTCTTATTTGCCTAATATCATTGCATACGTTTAATTGCTAGTTGACACATGTGATTGCCATAGATAGATCTCCTTTATTTTGTCAGACCAAGCTTGTTCAGTCTATTCAGTTTTCTCTCCATTTTATCCATTCAGAAAGTAATATAAGAAATGCTGCATATGCTGAAAATCTGACCTCAAAGATTTGGTTGATATACTAAAAGAAAGTTACCAGGTTTTGTTTTGTCCTTTGTTCCTATACAATTTCTCCTTTTAGGGAGTGTTTTCTCCGTCTTTTGCTCTAAATTCTTGCTGCTTTGCTAATGTATAGAATAAAGTGTATCAGTATGATCAGTTACACGACTCTTTGATTTACAATTCTCGTTTCTTTTTTAGGATTTTCTTGCTTTCATCTTTATTACCAGTTTCTTATGTTGTGTTCCTATTTTAAATCTTAAAGCGAGGAAATTTCAGAGGCACTGATGAGAGTTCTGTTGGGGTAGAGGCCCAACTTAGTAATTTGGCTGCAGTAACTCAAGTCATTGATCCTAAACTTCATAAGCATTTGGGTATGAAATGAAATTTATATCTTTTAATTCTCTAGTGTTGTGCGTTGTGCTTTCTTTGCACATCTCATTAAGAGATTATTTTTTTTCTTATATTGGTTTACAGAGACACTGGGTGGAGGTGACTATCTCTTTGCAGTTAGAATGCTAATGGTTTTGTTTCGTCGAGAGTTCTCATTTTGTGATTCATTGTATTTATGGGAGGTATGTTCAACACTTCTAACCCTTTGACTGATTTTATTGAATCCAAAATGCATGCTAAATTGCTTTGTGAATTACTAGATATCCTTCCTTGGAAACAATATACAATTCCATGATAATTGTGATTGTTTATGAACGGATCTGTTTGTTTATGGATTTGGCTTTTTCAGATCTTTGAAAATTAATTTGATGATAAATCTTAACAAGGGATTGTTATGAAGTATTTAGACGCATATTCTAGTGAAGAAAAACCTTCACCTAAACTGAGTCCTTTAACCTCGAATTTGACTGGTTTCAGAGAAATAAACCTGAACGATAAAGAGATAAAGTCCTATGAAATTTCTCATTTATACACTGGAGAAGCTCAACACATTCTTTGATATCAAAACTGTTTTATTATTACTCAAGTGTTTGTAGGAGTGCATCTATTCAAATGTGATGTGTCCAGTGACATTGAAGGAAAGTCATTTTCACCTTGATGATGTTTTATAGTTTGTAATTACTTGTGTTCTAAGATAAGCATAAGTGTTTGGTTGTGTTATGTTGAGCACTTTATACAATTTCATGACTAACGTGAATCAATTCCTGTGTTTACGGGATCTTTACTTCTGTGTTCTGGCGTGCTTCGCATGAATTTTACTCATAAAGTTTGTCTGGTTTCCTGAACTTTTTACAGATGATGTGGGCTCTGGAATATGATCCTGACTTGTTCTCTCTATATGAAGAACCTGAATCAAATATTGAGAAGGCTGATGGTTCTAAAGGAAAAACAAAATCAACACGTCAATGTGGAAAGTATGAGAGAGAAAATATGAAAATTAAAGGCCCTGATGCCCCCCTCCCCATTTCTGTTTTCCTTGTTGCCAGTGTCTTAAAAGATAAGAGCTCAGTGCTTCTGCAAGAAGCTCGGGGTCTGGATGATGTAGTTATGGTGAGCTTACATCTTTGTAGCTTTTACTCTCTAGGATTATATTGGGGATAAACGATAATACCGATCTATAGATGAACATATAAGTTAAGCAACAATTCACCCATTATGCATTGCTGAAATAAGTGTCTGCACAATTAGCACCTTCCAAAACCGTGAAACATTTACAAATAGTTTGGGTGCTGATGAACCCTTAATATCTATTTACACATCTTTTACAATTTCCCTCTTTTTTGTCTGACTGCAGAACTTCTAGCTATGTTATATTGTCTAAATACTTTACCTGTCTTGTTTTCTTGCTGTTATACTTTTTCAGATTCTGAATGACATAACTGGAAACTTGGACGCCAAGAAAGCTTGCAATGGGGCGATGAAACTTCACAAGAAATATTTAAAAAAGGTACTGCTATTGCCTTGTATCCTTTTAAATCTTGATGTGCAGTTGAAATTCCTTCATCATGCTAAAGGCGAAAATTAGAAGCCTAGCATAGTATGCAGTAGTTCCTAGAGTGCACATACATGTCATTGCTAGATGATTCATTTATGGCTAGCTTTATTTCTGAAGTTTCTTCTATGAGAAATTCTTCTGCTGGTAACTCTTTGAATTCAAACTCTTTCGTTCCATGTTGTGACCACAGGCAAAGCAGACATAGCATAAAGTAAACCGATGACGTTTTCCTCCTAGTCAAGAAATAATGCGAGCTTTTTTTTTTTCTCTGATGCCATGACTTTATTTTGGAGGCGATAACAATATACTTCCAGATGAATCCTGGCTCAGAGATTTCAGAATTCTATATAGTTGCTCTAATAGAAGCAATTGTTGTATGTGATATCGATCTTCCACAATATTTGTATACTAAAACATTGTTTACCAATCTCTATATGAATGAATCCATTGTTGTATTGACATATCTTGTGTTTCATAATCATTCGAGAAATACAAAGAAAAACAATGCTTATGCAGAGTCACTTTGGCTACTTGCATATTTCTTTCTCACTTTGAATGATCATAACTTTTGAATGAAACAATAAACAAGTACTAGTGGATTCTTAATTCTTCAAATCTTGATGTAGTTTCATTGATCAAGTAAAAAATTACTTGTTAAAAAAGTGAAAAATAGCTATCTTAACTTTATTCCGTTCTAACTGGAAAAAATTCCGAGAATCCCGGAGAGAAAAAGAAATCCAATCAAATGAACAAGTGTTGAAGATTTGCTTTTATCAAAATTAAGAATTCAACTAGATGAAGTTCTGAAGATATGGCAAAAGAAAAGAAATCTAATCAAAGACAGATGAAAATTTGTCTTTTTCACCACCTGATTTGCAATGAGATTTCCTTCAAGATGAAGAACATGATAGAACTTGAATGAATGATTGAAGTTCTTCATTTGCAAACAATGGCGTCAACAATGACAGAAAAATACTACTTTGTCGAAAAATCAGAGCAAAACAATCTATTTTCAGTTAATGGTGAGTTTTTTGGTGAAATTATGAGGAGAAAAGGATTCCACAAAGACGAAATCATTCAAGAACATACTCTCAATTTCCATGTGAAACTTTATCATGCTACCAAGAGTATGAGTACAGATTTAAAGAAACCAAAAAAAAAAAAAAAAACCGAATGAAATTTGAAGCTGATTTATTATAGTCGAAATTGTTGGAAAAATGGGAAATTTGTTATCAAGTCTGATCATTCTAAGCAGAATATGGACTCATAGTCAAAAATCACCATGGTCAATATCATGGCGATGAACTGTGAATATAAGATCACTTTTTTTGTGTACATCAATGAAATTTCTTAATTTATTATCACCCCTTTCATTGGCTTGTTCATTAGCCTTCTTAAACAGTCTTAAAAAACAAGACATATGGAAGTTCTAATTTGTCCTTTTCATAAAAATCTAAAACCTTAATCCTATGTCTCTTTTGCAGTAAAATACATACACAAGAAAGCAAAAAGAAGGTTGTCCAAAATATTACATTGGAAACCCTTGTCAGGCAATAAATAATTATCATAAAAATTATGTTTTCACAGTTGTTACAATCTTCTCATCTGCCCTTCTTGATGATAAAATATCATAGCAGAACAAGCCTTCAATTTGTAGTTGCACATTGCTCTCCATCCTCTATATATCCACCCATGTCCAATCCATCAGCATTATTTCTTTTCCCTAAGACAACATATCAAATCGAATTGCTAGTTATAAAATGATTGATGATGGGTTTGTTCAAAATGTTGACTTTAAATCATAGCAGCAGAAAAGAAAAAAGCTTACCAAAGCTAATACACTACAAGCAAAAAAAAAAGGAACCCAATGATCATCAATGGAAACGGTCTGTTATCAGCCAAAAAGTCATGATAGATATGAAGATAGCAGCCATGAAGGAAACTCGAGAGCAGTGCCCTGCTGCATTCCTTGGAAAATCATCAGGAAGTGCACATTCTTCACCATTGAAGAACACCTTTGAAGGGAATCCATCGCCACGTCGAACGTTTATTCCTGGTGTCTGTTTCTTTGTGAATGAAATAACAGATTGTTGCTTTCCAGGAACTCTAGGATCATGTACTCTAGTCCCATTTGTCTCTGCCACCAAGTAATTCAAACCTGGCAAACCCTGGAAGAAAAGGGTATTCTTAGGGGATTTCAGCTTTGTTCCATTGAAGGAATACACATTTTCATAGCCAGGGAAAGCCTTTTTCATTTCAACAGCAGTGAACCAATCCTCAAAAGGAGAATCTCCCCAGTTAAACAGGGTGACCCGAGCTGTCCATCCAGTCTTGTAATCAGAGTTAATATGCCAATTTATACTAACTCCACAATTGTCAGGGCAAGGCAACTTTTTTGGAACAGTCCTGTGTTTGAGATGGGCGAAGGCTTTAGCTTTAGCTGTCCTGTTTTCAAAAGGAACAAGAAGAGCATCTGCTGGAAGAAGCATTGAACGCCCATTTGGGTTGCAAGTATCTGTATCAATATCATCACAGCCACAAGCACAGGTACTGCATGGAATAGCAGAATCATTGTAGAAAGCTGAGAAAGAAACACAGCACTTAGTTTTCTTCTTCTCTGGTTTGGTAATGTTGCAAACAACTTGCCAACTTGCAATAGCACTTGTTGTAGCCTGGAGCCCACTTGGCTCAGGAAATTCTGTTGGATCTACTCTAATTGGAGCCCCACATTTGTACTGAGGATTGAGTGCCCCAGTAACATTCCATCTTTGTGGTGGATACAAAACAGTTTTAGCTGTATCAGGGGGCAATTTATAGACCCTTAATTGAAAAATTGATCTTGCTTTGCTTTCATCCATCAATGGTGGCAACAGAGTTCCATTTCTACAACAATAAGGGATCTTACCAATATTGCTATCATTTGCTCTATCAGCTGGCAAATCAGCAATCACAGGCTTTTTTTGGCAATTCATGACTTGAGTAAAATCCAAATCCTTGAGGAAATGCCCAGGTAAGCCTAAAATGCAATCGGAGAAATCGATTCTGTGAGTGTAGGCTCCTCTCATGGAGTAAATGAACTCTCCCCTCATCCATTCCCAAGTCAAGTTCCAATGATCAAGGCGGCCTAAGGGGTTGTTGTTGTCCATGGTTACTTGTGCCTCATAGCTACCTTCATATGATTTTAGAACATCATACATGAAGTTGAGGTCTCCATATTGCCTAGGCAAGTACTTGCCCTTGGGAGACTTGGCCTTTAATTTCGGATTCTTCTTGCAACATACATGCATGTAGGTAGCTGTAAAAGTAAAAAAAAAATATGCAAAGACTTTTAGTTTGGAGTCCTCAACTTTGAAAACTTTCCATGCATAGCTCAAGCAATACCATGCATGAAACAAAAGCTAAATATATCAAACAAGAGAATAAAAAACTTACGATACTTAGTAGGCTTAGGGCAGTCCCAGCCATCGTTAGCCAGCTTGATTGTCTTCGGCATTGGAATAACTTTCTCTTTCAACCCAAACATGGTACCCGTGAACTGAACCTGAACCGCAATCTGGTTATAATCTCCAGCGGTATCAATGGAGGTCTTGAGATCCGTCATGGGGTACCCCGCTATGGTTGTTCCATTCCCAACCGCCACAGGAAAATCCCCGCTACCGTCAACGACGATGGCGTTGCTCGCAGACACCAATATCTCTCTATGTTGAAACCCAACAAACATCTTCCATTCTTTTACCTCTTCCGTCCCAGAATTGATTATGGTGGCTATGGAGTTAAACGCCCAGGATTGAGCTGTAACGTTTTTTACGTGTGGTAATTCTTTAGTCCTTGACGTGAAAGCATAGCTCAAGAATACACCATTACAATTGTCTTGGCCCGGTGGCGGTGCCGGGGCCGGCTCATCATCGTCATAGTCAGCGGCAAGATCTTGGCCATAACAAAGCTGAATTCTTAACGGGATAAAGAGAAATGCAAGATATAAGAGATTCATCCATGGCATTTTCATGCCTACTTTTCTTTTTTTTTTTAACCTTTTCTTTTTTTTTTCTTTCCTTTTTTGGTGGTTGATGATGAGAGGCAGAGGCAGAGGAAAACAGAGGGGGTTTTGCCGCGCGGGGACGACGCGGCAAGGAGAGAGAGGGGAGCGAGTTCTGAGTGAAACTCTATGAAGTTTAGAGATGAAAGGGTTATAAGGGAGAAGAAAATAGGAGATTGAGTCAAGCTAAATTCTCTTCCTCTAGTTCTTGCGGCTGGTTCGGACATGGAAAAACAGTGGTGTCTCAATTCTTGTACTAAAAAAAATGGTTTTCAGTTTTGCTATTTTCAGTGTGTGGTTGATGAACAATGTCGTTTTTGGAATTGTCCAAGGTTTGCAGTAGTTAAATTTTGAGTTGTCAAATGAGTTTTGCAAATGGCCAATAAAATGTGACACCCCGATTCCAAATTAAAAGGATGCGTGCATACAATAACATATACGTGTAAAGATTTAAATTTAAATTTATTTGATATTTTTTATGAGATGATATTGTAAAATTTTTAAATCAAAATAAATAATATATTATAAGTTAAATTCACATAAAATGATTTTAAAAAGGCAAAAACTGACTTTTCTCAAACAGATGAATGGTTCAGATTCTTGTCTGTGCAGCCATAATGAACATGGTACCATGTTTAACTGACTGACTGTTTTGTGAACAATAACATTTTAGTTCCATGTTTGTCAAAACTGCAACACCAAGTTTATCCTTTGAATCAAATATTTTATTGCTTGACAGAATTTGTTATGATGTAAGAAATATTAGGTTAAAAGCTTTCAATTCAATCACATCAGTAAAAGTAAAATCATATAATAAATCAAATATATAAGAGATAATAATTTAACGTAGTTTAGTTTAATCAATTTATATCTACGGATGAGAAATAAGATTCACTAGTTGTAAAAAATTATAAATATACATTAAATCATCAACTTCACTTGACAATCAATACTCATAAAACATTCTCAATCTCTCTAGTCTTATAGAGTATTCTCAATCCAAACAAATACAAACTCAAACTTTTGTGTATCTTTTCAATATAATCAAACACATATTTATATGCTCTCATATATCATATCTATGTGGATCATTTCAGTCTCTTCTAATTCACTCACAAACAAATATACACACCCATAAGATATAAAGCCTCAATACTCTTATGGGATGTCTATCCCACAAAACTCTACAACTCTCTTACATCTTTTTCTCATATTTAACCTTGTAGAGACTTCACATATTTATAACCATACAAACTTGCTCATTAAAAATCCCTCTCCTCTTAGAATTCTTCTTTTGTAAGTTAAACTTGCCTATTAAAAATCTTTTTCCTTTTAGAATTCTTCTCTTGCAAGTCAAACTTACCTATTAAGAATTTCTTTTCTTTTAAAATTCTTATTTTGCAAGTTTTTTTTGTCCATCAAGTAATATTTGACAAATCTCAAATAAATCTATAACAAATCACTTATGGCATTTGAGTCATTATTCCTAACAATCTCTATCTTGACTCAAATTCCATCAATCATCTGTCTTCATGCTAGACATGTTTGGTTTTACCTGCAATGGAAGTCTCACAATTATCTACTCTTCTCTTGTGTCTTCAGCCTTAATACAAACCAATAATTAATTTTCAAAATTTAAACTCGAACTCTTCTCTTGAATCGAGCTCTTTTGGACTTGTTTCTTCTCTTATCTCAAACCATGCACTTCCTACATCTTAAACCTTTAGCTTTTCCCACATCTCAAACTTTCAGCTCTTTCACGTCTCGAACCTTTAGCTCTTTTCACACCTTGAATCTTCAACTCTTCTCACGTTTCGAACCTTCAGCTCTGATATCACTTATTGGAGAACATCACAGCTGTTATATAATTTGTTGGGCTAAAAGCTTCCAATTCAATCACACCAACAGAAGCAAAATTAAATAATAAATCAAACACACAAGAGATAATAATTTAACATGATTCGGTCCAATCAACCTACATCCACGGATGAGAAACAAGATCCACTAGTTGTAAAAAATTACAAACATACATCAAATCATCAACCTCACTCAACAATCAATACTCATAAGACACTCAATTTTTTTAGTCCTATGGGTATTTTCAACCCAAACAAACACAAACCCAAACCTTTGTGCACCATTTCCCATATATCATACATATGTGGATCCTCTCAGTCTCCTTTAATCCACTCACAAACAAACATACATACCCATAAGACGTAGAGTCTCAATACTCCTATGAGATGTCTATCTCACAAAACCCTACAACTCTCTTACATCTTTTTCTCATTCCTAACTCTATAGAGAGTTCACATATTTATACCCATACAAACTTGCCTATTAAGAATTCTCATCTTAGAATTCTTCTCTTATAAGTTAAACTTGCCTATTAAGAATCCCTTTCCTTTTAGAATTCTTCTCTTGTAAGTCAAATTTACCTATTAAGAATCTCATTTTTCTTATAATTCTTCTTTTGCAAGTCTTCTTGTCCATCAAACAATATCTGAAATCCCAAATAAATCTCAAATAAATCTCTTATAAATTTAAGTCATTATTCCTGACAAGAAAAAGATTCCTTCTGAATTCTGATCGATGAACTTATTGAAAACAGAGGGAAAAACAAAACTAACAAACAAAACACATTGTATGCATTGCTAAAGGATTATTTTAGAGCATTCGATAAGTAAAATCCGGAATGCACCTTGCTGATA